TTCATGTATATTATCGTGTAATAATTAAATTATATTTCACGATACAACACGAAGAAGTCTCTTGGAGATATCAATTTTACAATGTTTCTTATCTTATTTATGGAAAGTTAAAATATCGATTTCGATACAACGGACTTTTTTAAAGCGTCGATTGAATAAAACGCTGAGCTTTCAATTGATTAAAATAATCACAGTATTCGGTGGCATAGAATCTGTGGACATTACACGCCATACACACCTGAGTTATTCATTCAACTATTTTCCCAATAAGCTGTATATGTTTTTGACAAATAGGCAGGAATATTTAAGATACATAGGTACTTATTATTTTTGCTGTAAGTTCTTGCGCTAGACGAGCAGTGATGTTTCAAATTAACTAGAACTCCTGAGAGATAATTCTCTCTCTGGCGGCCGCTTCTCACCTTGTTATTGATATTGATATTGAAAGTCCTATGATTCAGCGCCAACAACAAAAACTCACCATTGTAAGCCCACGCTCTGCCATCAGCAAGATCTTTGAAGAACAAGCTCAGGTCATGCCAACACCGCGGATCCAAAAACAAGTGCACTCCATTCGTGATCTTCGGCCAGACCACGGCCAGGAACGAGGGATCGTAGACGTTAAACAAGTCCTCAAGTCCTTCCCCACGAGGTCTCAAAATACGTGTTCTATACCGCGACTCCCTGTTCTTACTTGCCGAATTCCGTAACCGAGCGCTTTCATTCAATCCAACAAACAAAAACAATAACCAAATTATCTTCATTATTGTTTATTCACATTTTCTGTTTTTTGTTTATAAACAAACGCAGTGCGTGCGCGGACGCAGCCGGTGGACGAATAAGCGCGAGGCGCACACGCACCTCTGATTACATCTCGCCGAGTGCACACTGTTACCACTTACATTAATGTAATGTGTGTTTTCTAAATGCCTACTGCTCGCCAATCTTAACATGATCACCGACACCTATACTATTTTATAAATCTCTCTCACAATAGAATACCATACAATAATGCAAGTTTACAGTCAGAGCGCCACTTATATTGGTCGACTAATAGCATTAATTTGCATTAAGCATTGCCTTAACCGTTCATCGACGATCCGTAGCAAAAAATTGCAAAACTTAATACCTATTACTCGACCGAGAAAAAAGTTGCCCACTTTTTCTTCTATTTCCGTGTTCCTCTTCGTTCGCCATAAAGGAAATGTGGAAACACGCAACTGCAACAAATACTAATTAGTGGTATGCATTGTAGTGTACGCGCCGCTATTATTTATTTCTTCATTAATTTGTACCTTGAAGAGTTGAACATGGTTTTTGTCGCGTGGAGTGCAGTGCCAATACAAACAAAAACTGTTTTATTAGTAGATTGAAGTTCTACATTTAGACATGAAAAAAGAAATCTTCAATTTGAACTTCGATAATTTATGTCTCTTTTACCAACAAATCACAAGTGATTTTGAAGAATGCCGGCCAAATCCATTTCGACAATTTCGTAAAATGGCGAGGGTCTACTATCTGGTACCATCTTGTCAACCTTTAAACCTAGCAACTAGGAAAACAAGAAATTATTATAGGAAATGAACCTATTTTTCCACATTTAAATCGCATATAATTGTTTTTTCAAACAAAACCAACGTTTCGGGCCCTTTACAGGTTCCATTATAAAATGTATAGAGCGCCATTTTCAACTACAAATTGGTGTTACAGCTAAATTTTGACTCTAAAAATTTAGTAAATACTTGAAATGTTTATTTCTTACACTCTATATAATCAATAATACAAAGATCGAACACTCAGAAAATTCCTTCAAGCCGGTCGTATTCGAACCGACGTCTTCTTGCATACCGTGCCAGACGCTATGCCAACTAAGCCACGGAACGAACCAACGGACCCAACGAATTTTTCTACGTGCTTGCGTCGTGTCTTTGTATTTGGTTTTTCAACGACTTTTTAGTCGTAGCGCCATCTATGAGAAATCTATGAAAGATTTATCACCCAGTTTGTACCTTTACAGTTACTAGTCCTGGCGAGAGATGTCTCTATTCACTGTATTTTCAGTTTTTATTGAATTAATATTCAATTATTTTTTGTGGAATTACTCCACTAGTTTGTTGTAATCATTAATACAAAGATCGAGCACTCAGAAAAAATTCCTTCGATCCGGTCGGATTCTCTCGAGCGTTCGAAGGAATTTTTTCTGCGACTTTTTAGTCGTAGCGCCATCTATGAGAAAATCTTTGACACTCTATATATTCACTATACATATCTATGTATTCACTATACACTCTATATATTCAAAATTATGTGTACGACTTTTCCACGTAAATGTACATATCAATGAAAATAATTGAAAATCCAATATATTCTAAACAAAGGAGCGACTAATTCTAAAATTTCGTGACTAGAACCGACTAATTCACGACTTTTTCTGGGTGCAATCAGATTTAAACTAGGTGTGGTTTTAGAGATTCAAAAATAGTGCTTCCGGAATAAACTTATCCCGGCGTGGACTGTAAAAGACCTTAATAACTTCAAAATGGCGTAGCAACTAAATCTATGTTTGTACGACTAGAACCGACTAAATCACGACTTTTGTTTAGTGTAATCAGATCTAAGCTAGGTGTTATGGTTCTCGAGAATGAGAAATGGTGCCGCTGCAATAAGCTTGTTTCAGCGTGGACAGTAAAGCACCCTTATAATTTTTAAACGGCGGACCGACTAAATCTAGTTTTTTGCGACTAGAACCGACTAAATAGTGACTTTTGGTCTGGTTAGTCGAATTTCAAAAACTCGACTATTGTCACATTGGGTTAAGACACGCAAAGACATAAAGCATATTATTATAATTGTGTAGATAATCAGTACATGTCCGCTTGACAGGCTGTTGTTTAATGGCAATAAGTTTCACTTTCTTGCGGCAATTATTCCACGTGCTAACTTGGCGTTTGATAAAGTAGTTATACGAACTGGTCTCGCTCATTAAACTTCGCGCGTGTTATCTCGTTAACGACGGTTCAAAGTACACAAGTTAATTTGCAAAGTATAGGGGAAAGTTGGCAGCAAATAATTCTGCAAGTTTTAATTCGGGTAGTTTACGAGAATTCTTAAAAGTGGAACAATGTGTAATTATAACTATTGTACTCTGTCCCACCATTTATTTCTTCTTCTTTTAAATGTTATGGCCCCATTGAAGTAATCTATGTTTTTGCGAATGTCAAGTTGAGAAAAAAACATTTATTTAACTTTTGAGATATGCACGCCTCTGAAGGTCCGTAATTATTGACATACAACCATAGACAAAAAATACAATACTTCCTGGGCTCAGATTTTGACTGCCATTCCTATTGACTTACAATTATATGGACGTCGGGTCCGCGCTAAAAAGTGTCCGCACTTGTAAGGCGCTAAAATCGTATACAGAGCGCCAAACTCCGCTTTAGTCTTCATTTGTTCTACGGACAGCGCGATACTGCGATGACATTACAATTTAAATTTCGAATAGGTTGACTTGGGACATTTTTTCGTGGTTTTTGTATTAGACCCGTCGTCCATTTATTTGTAAGTCAATGGCCTTTCCCGAGCGGAAACTGCGTCTTTTCCGAGTCGAGGCGTACAATATTGCGGATGGGCTACCACATCGGATCGACTCCTATTTTTAATTTTAGTGAAGCGACTTGCTCTTTACTTCCGATATTTATCGAGCCAACAGATTATGTAATGAAGATTATACAAGTTGATAAATTTTGGTACACTCAAGAGCACATCAAGCTTGACAGTGTACTTTCGACCGTTCTTATCGAAAGCGGCATAGAGTTGGATTTAAATCTTAAGTGTAGCTTGATGTTCTCTTGAGCCTGTACCTGTCTAATTAATTATAATGAAATGAAATAAGTTATAAATAATTATAATAAATTCTTACTGGTTATTATAACGAATCGTCGTACTCTTATGTCGTGCGCCTGGTTGTAAGCGACACGTCTGTCTATAACAATTGCAGTGCCTCTTAGTGCTTTGAATCACAAAACCGGAATCTATGGAATTGAAATAATGTTACTATCACAGACATATATGTCTGTGGTTATTATTATCGTCGTAGAGAGAATTGTGTGTCATTTCTACGTAACTTTTCAGGACGATGATAAAAAATGTGGTTGTAAAATATAGTAAACAAAATAATGTTTCTTGTTAGCATTTTAATTACTTAAATTATACCTTTTTTAAATACTATATTAGTTAAATAATGCATAATTACGCAGATTTATAAAGTTTTGCTTTGACAAAAATCAGGAAAAAAACTATATAATTTGGTCGACCACGTGATATCATGATCGAGTGGCTTGCACACCGATTTTCATGGTGTCGCCATCTGGGAGGTTCCGAATTCGAATCCCGACAGAGTCCATGTAGAAACACCAACTTTTCTATATTGCCTCGAGTCTGGGGGTGTTTGTGTTACCGTCGTTTCCGATTTAGTTACTTACTTTGGGATCAAAGCAACGTATGTGATATTGTCTAATTATATTTTGCATGCGAGGTTTCACGTTATAACACTTAACATTGTCTTCGTAAACTTAACCTTTACTTACCTATATATAAGTATATATATATATTGTGTAACACTACAAGAACATAGAATCCTTATTAGTGATACAATGACCTCTAGTATAATGTGTTCATAGAGAAACTCACTATAGTGATATTTTTTTCTTCGTACATAAATTTGTCAAACGCAAGATCACGATTTGTCTAATCAGACAATATGTTTCTTCTTTTTTGAATCCGCTCACATTCACGATTAAAACTTCTTCATAAATAAAATCGATTGTTATAAAAAAATCGAATCGGAAACGCATTAGGACTAATTGATTAGAATTCGGACTGTTAAAAGGTAATTGATTGAATAAAAAACATTGAACAGAGTATGAATACTAATTTATTATAAAAATGTATTTACAGCGTCTTGCAAAATTAATTAGAAATTTATTTTATAGAGCGATAGAAACATGTTATTTAATGGATCAAAAAGTTATTGCGTGACGTGTAGAGGTCAATAAATTTAAAAGACAATCATTTGCAAATAAAACAACTTATTGTTAGTAATTACAATGTTTTATTATCTGTCAAAAGACAATAGCTTATAATTATTGAATGTACTTAGTAAATACAATTAGCTAGATTTATCAATTCATATCATATCAATTCATACTGTAGTCACATAGGTCTCTGGGAGGCGCACACACACACGGACATCGATCGGAGTTTTGGGGCTCTACATCTGCCGGAGCCGTTTGTTGGGTCGCTGACCGTCGTTCATGAACCCGCCCTGCAATAAAACGTCGTGTTATACAATTATTTCAATTAATATAAGTGTTGGGCCTTACTTCTCAGCATGTACGAGATCAGTGTTCATACAAATGGGATGCATTGTCCACACACTTCGAAGTCGAATTGTGTCGACAGTATTGAGAGTATAGACGCGGTACTACGAGCTGATAAGCTGGTACTGGCGGCAGTATTGACATGATCGAGTATATAACCAGAAATATAGACGAAATAAGGGCCATGCACCCTTGGCAACTCATCAGGCAAATGCGCCTTATATTCTTTCGAATATCAAATCTCGTTTGCGTTGAAATCACAATTTAGAAAGCTGAAATAGCGCCAACAACTGACCTGTGCGTACTTCTCCGTATATTCAAAAAAAATACTATATTTATAAAGCTATATTGACAAGAGAATATAAATATCTCCAACAATGGAGGGCTGTTCCATTCGGTGGTGTGGGAAAAACAGCAAAACATCTAATTACAAAACAAACGGAATCACATTTCATCGGTAATTAAATGTTAAATATGTAATTTTTCAATTTTCGTCCATAGCTCAAGTTAAACTGGCAGATTTGACGTGAAACAATTGCCGACACCCGCCAATTGTTTCGGATTCGAGCTGGCCCATCGGAGCGCAGTTGTCACCGTAATGATTTGACAGAATAGTTTTTAAACAAATTAAATGACATTTCGTCTGTATTTCTGGTTATATACTCGATGACTGACATTAAAGACTTTGTTAGTAAAAAATTTGTTATTTAAATATTATTATATACAACAAGCCGAGTGTTACAATATTATTTGTCAGCATTTAAAGCTCGAATTGTGGTCAGATTTCTTTTTCTTCCTCTCGGATCGTCATTGGGACTTGATATATTGTAACATAAACAGTTTCTATTTGAGAATGTTCTTGGTTTAATTGTTAATTTAAGCATAATTTTAAACTACGTTTTTGGCAAATCTTTGGGAGACAAACTTAATGTGCATTCGATGGAAAGAAACTTGTAAACCACCACATCAGAAAAACAAACGTATTTAAAAAAGGGTGTCGCTTTTTCGTTTATAAAATAACATATAAATATTGAAGTTGTTTCATAAAACACATTACTTTTCTATGCCGTGGTGCATAGTGGCTAATATTAAACTTTTACACCCCAATTCAATTGTCGCAGAGCATGCCCTAAACAATACAAACACGCATCACAAATTGTTTACCTGCTTTGGTTCTTGCTATTACACAACTCTCAACTAGTAGAAGTTCTGAAAAGAATGCACAGAACAGATTAATGGCAAAGAGAAGTGCAGCCCTACGCGCGTTCGTTTATTCTCATGTTCCAACCGTACTGCATTTCTTTGCACATCTTTCTATGCACTCGTTTCTGACTCAACAATAAACAGGCATGCGTGCAAATAATAAATAAAAAGCTTCGAAATTATTGCAAAAAAATACAGTTTTAAACGAAAAACAAAATAATAATCTTTGTTAGATGGTCGGTGTAATGAAATAAAATAAAGGTGAAAACGCATTAGGGTTCTGCTGAATTTAACAACACAATCAGGATTAATTGTTTGAGTGTGTAGTAGCGGAGGGAGCATCAATTGAATTCAAATATGTTTTGGTTTTATGGCAATCTAACGTCGAGGCTGATGTAAGCAATATGTATGCAATAAAAACACGCAATAAACGGTATTTATGAACTACCTGCCAGATATCCTTGAGTAATAACGACCGCTTATCCGAAAATTCAACTACAACATTTGAGGCGAAACAAAATGCTTGCTGACGTCAAGCGAAAGATAATATTTACCAAAAAATACATTTCACAGTGAGTGGAACTGCTAAATGACGACATTCAGATGGTTAAACGACAAAACTCTATTCCACAAAGCGGCTGTAGAACTTGGACATTTTTAAAACGATACGGAAAGTGCGGGCCTTTAAAACAGATCAATATATGTTGTATGTATTTACACCAAACACTGGAAATGATTACAAACACCTGTGTGTGAAGTAAACAGATCGCCAAACAAGCCAACCTATTAGAAAAAAGCGAATTGTGGAGACGAAAAAAAACATGACTCTCACGAACACAACGAACTGCGTTAAAATGGTGAAGTAAAACGCCATTATCGATCTTCAACGGAGAGAATACTTGCTAGTTATGATTAGCTATGGGAAGAGCGCCCGACAGTTTCACGCACCTTGTCTCACACCAGAAAGTTGCTCATAATTTCGAATGTCACCTCTACCATGTATGTTCTACTTTGTATGGCAAATTGTACGGTGTCCAAAGAAGTAATTATATATATTAGTCATTTTGGAAACAAAATTCAACGGCGACATCTGTCTATATTGTAAAATCATGGTAGGTACCCTGATCGTAGTTAATTTAAGTTAGATAAGCTCCTGTCAGTCATAGTTAACAGATAATGCGCGTTCACCTTAAGGTCACAACTATAGATATTGTGCGTTATTGTGTAGAAGAAAAGATGTTGTGCATCGTGTGCATATGAAATAATGTCATTTTTTTTTTAAATACTATCAATTGAAAAATACAAGCTATGTGCACAAACATGTATAACATCTATAAATTCAATAAAATCACAAACTTTTACACTATACAAAAAAAAGGAGTCTAGCATTCGACTGCTTCAAAATGAAGCAAATTCTACGTAGTACGTGGGATGCGACACGCGTGATTTTTCGCTGGTCAAATCTTCCATCAATCTGGCACCATTCCAACTTGATGGAGGACGAGAACGGAACAGATAGCAAATTGACCACATAATCTTCGTCATGTACATTAGGCACATTTAACACGAACGTGTCGCATCCCGCATATGTCGCGGAATTTCAATCCTATATGCATGCACATAGCACGTAAGTGAGTAATGGAGAATCATGTATACGTACGGGACGGCCCATGAAGCCTTGCGGCGGCATGTAGGCATTGACGGGTGCGAAGCCGCCGCGCGGGAAGGCCCCGCCACGGCCTCCGAAGCCGCCACGACCGCGCGCACCTGTGGTGAACAGTTACAACTTAGTGGCGATTTTGACAATAAGAGAACCTGTACACATCATCATCATCATCAGGGGGCCTAAAAACACCACACTTACTATAAGACACTCTTTGATTGCGCTCCCTTTGGACCTCATAAATATGCACTTATTTAGCAATAGTATCTGATTTACATTAATGATAGATTCATGACAGCCTATTTAATAAGATCCACTTAAAAATAACAAATTTTGAATAGCAGGAGGAACGTGTAACTACACAAATAACTAATTAAATTAAATTAAATAACGCACACACTCAACATAGCCCCGCACTAGGGAAACCCTGTGTCGCGGGTGCCATGGACACACACATAGACAACCACAAATTACACCCAAACTCACGAGAGAAATAATTGTAGGCCATACAAATATTTCTCCCGGCCCGAGAATCGAACCTGGGGCCTCTGCGTGGCAGTCCGGCATGGTGACCGTTCGGCCACGGAGGCAGTTCAATTAAACTAAATAGTTTCAGAAGTCATGGCAGTGAAAAGGGCTAGCTCTGCGTAAATGCCGCAGTTTCCCACGGCGCTGGTATTCTGCCAGAACCGTGTTAAAAGAGACTGAATGAATATTACATTCGTTCATTCAAAATGTGATACGAACCTCTAAAGTTGCCACGTGCGTTGAAGTTGGCAGCGCCGCCGCGTGGGCGGTAGTTGTTGTTACGCGCGTTGTTGGCGTTGTTGGGAGCGCCGCCGCCGCCGCCACCGCCTCCGCCGCCGGACCGGTTCTGGTTGCCCGGGTGCTGTCGCTTGTTCTATAACATGAACCATTCAATCAAAAACTATTACTACATCTCTTAAACCTATAAAGTTAATGAAAAACGGATGACATCCATTACTCGCCGGGTCTTTAGGAAAATTGCAATAAATGGCACCCCTCATGGAAGAATGGCATGAAGTTACGTCAATAATGGTCATTGCTCCATTGGATACAAAAGAGTATAACCAACGTGATCTCCAATATCAACTAACAATGTCGACGGAGTTACAAGAATTGGGTAGATAGAACGTAGGTTATATTTTTCTGTATCCAATGGAGCAATAAACATTTTTGACGTAACTTCACTTATACCATTCTTCCATGAGAGGTGTGATATATTATACTGTGCCAAATTCATAGCATACATTTCAAAAATATCAAACTACAAAATGAGGACGATAAACAAGTTTGATGTCAAAACTGAACCTTATTAACATTGGCAGAGTGCGCCTTCTGCTCCTCCTCGTCGCGGTACTTGGACACGGTGACCAGGAACCCATTGATGCGCAACTCGCGATCCAGCTTCAGCGCCTTCTCCACCGCTTCCTTCTCGTGGAATGTAACTCGCACTACAAAACAGTTACACTTTGTTTGGACACTAACTTTTTTTTAACAAAATGGACTAACTAGCTCTGGAGTAGATAGCATCTACGATGGAACGAGCTCGCCCAGAAGAGGTCTATTCAGTCGCAGCTTAAAGATACGGGTTGTATGTGGTCGGAAATACAGGCGCAGGCAGGGAATTCATTCCTGGGCTGCGCGCATCATAAAAGATGATGATAAGCACTTGATGCGCTTGAAGGGAATATCGACCAAGTAAGGATGATATTCCGCCGTACGCCTGGAAGTCCGATGGTAAAGGGCAGACTCACAGAAAAGATTCACACTCAGTGGGTTAAACAATGAAGTTTAGATTCGAGCTTATCGTCGCCAATAAATATAGGCCACATTAAAACATTATCTAACATCGAAATTGTGAATTTTTAATCAAAGAACAATGCACTGCTTTACTATTCATGAAGTCTGGAAATTACTGAAATCAGTATGTTTACAATTAATTTATATGCATTATTACAATACAGATACGTAGTTCATAAGCCGCAAGTCGAGAATGAAAACAACCTGTTGTGGTCATAATACCTGAAAAATATACAAATACAGTGCACTCACGGATCTTATACTTGGTCTTGCTGAACTCATGTATGTGCGCGACTTCGCCGCACTGCGTGAAGAGCAGGCGCACGTACTCCGTGCCGGCCTCGTAGGGCACGCCCACCAGCACGGCCGTCTCGGCGCGCGACTCCACGGCCACCGAGATAGCGCAGTTGTCCAGCACCGTGCCTTCTTCTGTCAGCGCCTGCACGGAGACCACGTTTAGATGCGGCCTTTGGATGCGCGAGGAACGAGTTGGCAAAGCAATCATTGTACAATCCAGACCAAAAATATGTATACACACTTTTCAAAGATATATACGTACACGCAGTAAATATTATAGTATGCAAATGTACACGTTTGGACCGTTCTCACTGCGACTTTAGCACAGTATTGGTTGAATTGGAGTGGCTCAAGGCGTCAAATACGGCTCTCGCATTAACGAGCGATTTTGTGACTCAAAGGCCGCATGTGATGCTGGAAATTTTAAACAATAGAGCTTGTTGAAGTGTTCAGCCAGGGAAGTACTGCCACCTTACCTATTTCTGCCGCCAAACAGTGAGTCCGGTTTAGAAGTATAAGGGTGCTGGTGAAATTACAGGCACATGGGACTTGTCAACTTATGCCTCAGGGTAACAGGCGCAGTGGTAGTGCCCATAAGATCTTCGCGATTTAAAGCTCTGAGTGGCTCTGTAACTGTTATGGATAGGCGTGTCACTTACCACCAGGCGCACGACTTGATCGTTACGCCAGTAGGTATTATTAAAAAAAAATTACCAAGTCAACGCAATGCTGAAGGCATGCGGCCGCGACAAGCGTTAACGTATGGGAACCGCTTAATTATCTTGTCATTTTTCTCAATATCATCAAATTTCAATTATCTTTAATAGGTTGCTCCATTTCATAACCTTAAATGTAAAAAATCGAGCGGCCGTTTATTATATTACGATAGTAAGTTATTTAATATCCAATATATTATCATTGTTCCTGTAGACATGGTTACATTGAAATAGTGTATACATATTTTAATCTCGACTGCATAATTTATAACATAAAACATAGTATTCGTTGCAAATAAAGAGTACCTATTGGAATTTCTCAATGAATCAACGAAAACACACACCTCATTTGTTTTGTGGTTCAATAAAGTGTTTACATACATACATACACGCAAAACAGGTGCATGAAAATATTTGGAAAAAGATTCTTCCAGAAATACATCCACTTATTGAATGTATAATTTATGACGCAAAGTGTGAAATGATTATAAACCTGTGCATCTATTATGAGAACAGTTGTTGTCGTAAGCGGGCGCGCAAAATATTTAACCATTTTGTACTGCAAACTGAACCCAAACATTGGTAACAGTTAAAAACAAGTAACAATTTGCATGAACTGCCTCTGTGGCCAAACAGTTACCTTCCTGGACTACCACGCAGAGGTCCCGGAATCGATTCCCGGGCCAGGAGAAATATTTGAATGGCCTACATTTATTTATCTCCTGAGTTGGGTGTATTTGTGTTTGTCTATGTATGTGTCCACGACACCCGCGATACAGGATTTCCCTAGTGCGGGGCTGAGGGTCCGCGGTATTTATTTATTTAAAAATATTTTACGACGTCGCTACCGACAACGGTGAGAGTACTGCACTAATTATTTTGAGCTGTTCAGCAAACAACACTCATGTGCATGTTTTCTTGCTTTCATTAGGGAACTTGAATTAATTTCTGCACTGCAGAGTTTAGTAAGTCCTAGTAAGAACAATTATTCTTGTTTATTGCTTTGCCAAAGCCTCGTTACGCCGCGCTTAAAACTATTTATCTCTTTCTGTCTGAAAATTAGTAGTGCTCATAATTATTTAATAAAATTAATTTTATTACCATTATTCTTTTTAGCTTGCATATTATTTATTAACATATTTTGAATTTAATGTTTATAAAGAAAATTTACTATTGCACTTATATTCTTTTTTATTTAACATTTTTTGGCCATCATTTTTAGTAAAAAATATATTTTCCTTATGGAAAAGGCCACTTACCTTGAGGTAAAATTACCAACAAGTAGCATAGGGATGTTAAAAACATTATAAAGCTTATAACTAGGTGCTGGTAACATCATTTAATTCAACAAGCCAGGAAAATTGGTCACACATGGTTGACATACAGACCAACTTATCAGTTGTATGAAAAGATAATTAAAAAGATTAATTTATGCAAATGACAAAGATTAAAATTGAAAATAATGGTAAGCAAGAAACTGTTTCTTTTATACATACTCTGCTTTCTTGCCATTATTGTAAAGAAACACAGATAAAAACTAAATGAGAGCAATTGGCATTCTATGTTACTTTACAAACAGTTGCAACTTACCACAGTTTCAAGTATACATGTACAAAACATTACAAATGTCAGGGAGAATTCAGCTGATCTCCTACACGTATGCAACAACACTAGGACTAATTTTGATGAATTATGCAACAACAAAACAACAGTCCAATGGGGCCCTGCTTCTGTAGAAGACCAGCCTTGTCAAACATTCAAATAATCACTCATTCTGCACATGGCTCAGGGTAGACAAGTCCACAGGCAATTTGGAATAAAGAACTTTAGCCTTAAACATATAAAGGCGCCCTTTCAGTACACTGACAAAGGCAAAATTAATCTAAGTATAGCTACTATGACTTCCAATAGAAATAATAAGTTAGAAAACTTTTGGTTTACCTTTTCCAGATCGTCTTTGTTTTTGAATTCGACTATAGCCGATAATGTCGGAGTTGTGGTCAGTTCAGTAACAATGATTGGACCACGTCTAAAAAGAAAGAAAATTCCTCTCATTAATTCTCCGGCCACAGCACGTTCCGGGAGCAGCTCGCGCCTCGGAACACATTGCAACGTTGCATTAAACATCATATCTAAGCAGAAATCAAACTGTCTTCTACAATAATCATTATAATTCAGGGACTGATATTTGAATGTTAGCAAATACAATTTCTCAAACAAATCCCCAACTGCCACCACTAATGTGCACTTACTTTACGCTGGTGACTTCTCCATGCTTCGAGAACAACTCCTTGAGCTTCTCTTGGTAGTCGAAGAGGTAGCTCGATGGGAGATTCTCAACCAGCAGTTTACCAGATTCCACTTTGTCCTCTTTCTTGTCATCGGCTTTGGCGTCGCCGTCAGCGTTCTCGGCCTGCTCTCCTTCTTGCCCTTCGCCGCCGACACCAGCACCGTCGCCTGCTCCTTCTTCAGCATGCTCGTTCTGCTCAGTTTGCCCATTATTTTCTTCAATGGACTCTACCACTTCAGAATCGGGAACTTGCTCTTCCGCAGCCGGCGTCACGGCTTTGGCCTTCGCCGCCTGAGCTTTGGCACCACGGCCTCGCTTCTGTGCCACCATCTTAACTATTGCACTGAAATCAACGCAATAACCACCTGAACCACGCTTTACAGTCACGCTATGTAACTATCGACGCGGTTCCCGCCATGCTGTGCGCAGTTTTGCGAGCAAACGCGGTAGGTATCTACTTGGCGCCGATACCACTCCTTCAAGGACATTGAGTGACGCTAAGGCGGCGCGAAACTCCGTAATACGTAATATTAAACAAAGTGCGCGCTTATTCGCAGAGATGAGCTAAATTTAGCATGATGAGTTAACTTCATAACGGTATCTTAGACGTACGTACAAGCCAAGCGCGCCATCGACCATGGCGTTTTCGCAAGTGGAAAATTCAAGAGCCCTACGGATTCGCTGCACAGACAATTACCTACGACGTTTTGTACTTGAATTTTCAATAACATAACAGCAAGTTTAACTCACCGGAAAAACGTAGACTGTAGAAATCAATCGATGCACAATTTATAGCGAAAGGACGCCAATTTATAAGCAATAATAACACGAAACCGGCATCACGCAAGCGCGTCCGCCATTAAAAGTGAGGTTATCGGTATTGCCATTTTCAGTACAGCACTTCCTTTCATCGATTTGAGGCTAGAAGATAAGTGTATCCGAACAGGAAAAACTTGACACATGATTTGACGCATCTAACATGTATAACCTCAAAACAAAAAGCGAAACATGCAATTTGTTTTGAAAAATTTATGATTTTTTTAAAACAATGAAATCGAAGTCTTTTGATTTAAGAGTATCTCCAACTCAAAAAGGTAAACTTAATAGAACTTTTGACTTTGTTAGTTTATATAAAACTACAGAGGAAACGAATGCCAAATTGCAAGAAAAGCGCAAGCCAGTTGGAAATTTGGATGGAGAAGACGTTGGCGAGTCCGCCGGGAACACTGAAACCTGGAGGCGGGAGCAATTGCCCAATAAAAAGAGGAAGAAAGTAAAAAATGAAATACTGGATATTTCCGTGATTAACATCGACAGTCACAGTTTAGGAGCGGGAGCGGGAGCGACGCACACCTCACCGGTAAGGTACACGCGCGGGACGTCCACGCCCGTGTCCAATACGAAACCGCAGCAGGCAGCACCGAAGGTAAAATCTATTATGAAAAATTCTACAGTAAGCATGGACGACGCGATGGACAGCTCGGCTGCCGATAATCCGACGAGCAGATCGAAAAAGAGAAACAAGTCCGTCAGTTTCATGCTCGATGACACTGAAGAAGTTGTTGTGAAGAAAGCAAAGTCTGAAGAATACTTAGACAGCAACCATCGAAACGGCAAACCTCTTAACAAGTATGAAGAGAAAAAGAAACTTAAAAAACTGAAGAAAAGCCCACAAGCAGAGAAGGAAAACAATGCAAATATCAACATGGAGACTGATCAGGGTGACAAACAGAAAGATGTTTCCAGCAAGAAACTTAAATCTAAGGACAAGTCAAAGCCCTTACTAGCAGAAGCAACTGGAGATTCTCCTCCTTCTGATGCTGCAGTAAGTAATCAAGACAAGAAGAAGAAATTTAAGAAACTTAAAAATCGGAATAAGACTGAGGAACCTACAGAGAATGAAAGCAACAATAATGATGATAATAATGAACATAAGACAAAAAAACTAAAAAAAAAGAAGCATCACTCCAAAGTTGTACATCCACCAGATACCACAGAAACTGAAGGGGAACCAGCAACCAAATCTCGCAAAACAGATGTGAAACCGGAAGTAATAGCTGAAGACCTTGAAAACCTAAGTATTGGTGACAATGCACACACACTTACTAACTTGCTAGATGAATTGACAGTAATAGATAAAAATAAAAAGAAAAAGAATAAGCTACGACGCAAGAAAGATAAAACTAAAACTGTAAGTGTATCAAGCAGTGAGAATGCAGAGCTGGAAAAGATTGAAGAAGGGAAAGAGAAGGTGAAATGGAAGAAGAGGAAGTGGAACAAGGACAGAAAGGGAGATGTGGATGATGATACGCTAGGAACAACAGTAATTGTGGAGAATTTACCATTGCAGATCATGTTAGAATACAAGACTTTGTTGGCTCATCATTTTGGGAGCCTTGGACTTATTAAGAAAATTGGGTAAGTACCTAAATCATTATAAAATTATTCTACATACTATCTACACATAAAAAAAAGAAATATTGTAGAACCGCTGTAAATCTGACTTGTATGGAACCTTACTTTTTTAACAGTTGTAAAAGAACTATATAACATTACCATTCCAGAATTGCTGAAGTATATCCTACGGAAGAATCAAAACCAGTCTTTACAACAACTGTAACATTTTATAGTGAGGCTGCAACAAATAAGGTAAACTATACCCAAAAGATTATGAACCTACCTTGCATTTACATAAATGAGAAATTATAATTAATATATGTCTGTGAAGAAATTGGAAGTGTTACAGTGATTAATTTTCAGGATAATAGTAGATAATAGTGTACCTCAAGACTAAAGTACTTTTGAAGTTCTTTTATTTCATATTAATGCATGACATACATAATATCCTGATGGTACTTATTCATAATATTTTTTATTGGCATTAATACTTTATTTGAAAATGTGAAAATGGTGATACAGAAGCTAGACCAGGCTCCAGAATAAAAAATTAAACCTCCTTTCACAAACCATAAAGGAAATTACAGTGAAATAATGTTATCATGTAATAGTTGTGCTTTGTAGCAAAAATATATTTACTTCTTAAATGTAAAATATCAGACCAAAAATTTAATATCTACTGAACAAAAAATTATTACAATAATCACATTATGTTTTTGTTTAGGCCTTAGAAGAAGACAATTCAGAGTTCAAGGGAAGTCGGATTCGTGTAAAGCGTCCATTACCAGCGACGCAGACGACACTCGTGGTGCGCTCCTATGGCGATCTATCGGAGCAGAGTCTGTGCTCCGCGTTCACCAGTGCGGGCCGGATCCGAAACATCCGCAATTTGGTTAAGGGCAGGAAGTCTATGGGTAAATATAATGACAAAATACTTTTAAATAAATACTTATACAATCAAAAGCTTTAGAGCCACTGCATACAGCGTATTTTTGCGCGCGGAAGACACGCGTTTATGGCGCTGTAAAGAACATATGCAAAAGTTTGTTGACTGCGACTGACCCACGTTTGAATCGCGTTAACGCGCGACGTCTGCACCTAAAAATACGCCTTGTGCATTGGTTCTTATGTTCCACGCATATTTACATCATAGCTGTACATTATTTCACTGTAAAGTTAGCACTGCAACCTCCCAACACCTGTAGAAGTCATTAATTGCATCGGAAAACGAATCGAATTGAGCACACGGGGTTTTTAAAGCCAGATAAAGTAAGAGGGGTTAAATTATGACACATGATGGTAATATCCACAGCAACGGCGTTCATAGAATTCGACGGCCCAGAAGCCGTGGAGAAAGCAATCAAGATGGCGGAGGACGCGCGCATCGGCGGTAAGAAACTGCACGTGTGCAAGTTCGAGCTTCGCGGCGGACGGAAAAGTGAGAAAAAGAAACACCCGGAGAGTGAAAACGAAGGAGGCAGCGAGGATTCCAACGATTAGATTAAGGATTTCTTAAATAATAGTTTGGGTTCCGTACGGTCATCAATAGGGAGACACCACACTTATCGACACGGAATCGCATTTAAATATCAGCTGACCTTTACTACATTTTTAGGTATAAACTCTAATCTAAAAATCTTGAGTATAATGACTGATTCTGACTTCCATTTTTATAGAATTATTTTTTGTTGCACATCTTTATCTTTATTTTTGATGCTTGCTTATATTACCACTGCCATAAACCAAGTATATAAAAGGTTTTGTACCCTATTTCAAGAGTAAGTAAGCTAAAAATTACGTGAATAATATTCAATGGTCAGTTGACAAAGTTAATTTTGTTTTATGGAATATATGTATTGTTGATAATATTAATAATAACTGTTATGTACTTAGTACAGGTATGTTATTCCATGTTTCATGCTGTGTTTATGTACAAACTGCACATACTTATAACGTTATCTGTAATATAATATTTGTGAAGTACTTTATCAAAAAAGTGATACAAATAACTGATAATTATAATGAACGATTGATTATCGTACTTAAAACGTAGGATACATATGAAAGTCTGCTTAACCGTGTTTGTTCTTAATAGAATTGGCCCAAACAATTTTCTTAAACCATATTCAATTATATTATCTAGACAAGACGTCATTTAAAGTACAAAAACATTGTTACCGACTTTTGTACCAGTTTTGAAAAGGTAATTGTGAAATAAAATATAGTCATTTTCATTTCACTTTGTGTATTACTTTATTTTTTAAGAGTGAATTAGAAAATCATTGCCCTATGCTTGCCTTGCTTGATATAGGACTGTAAGAAATAAGTTCAGATTATTGAAAAAATCATCATATGTAACAATAGTTCGAAATAAAGAACACAAATAGTACATTTTTGCAGAGGCCGTGAAGTAAGGGATTGGTGGACGAGTATAAATAATACCAGTCAAGTAATCCCCGTTCTTGCCGAGGCATGTATGGAATTTTTCTCAATGTGAAGGAAGATGTTTAACTGCCTCCTTGGCCGAACGGTTACCATGCCGGACGGCCACACAGAGCTCCCAGGTTCGATTCCCGGAGAATTATTTGTATAGCCTACGTTTATTTTTCTTGTGAGTTTGGGTGTAATTTGTGTTTGTCTATGTGTGTGCCCATGGCACTCGCGGCACAGGGTTGCCTAGTGCGGAGCTATGTTGTGTGCTTTATTATTATTATTATAGAAAAAGTAAAAAAAAAATAAAAGTAATATTTGACATTTTAGCAATTGCTAAAATGTCAAATATTACTAGATTTTATAAAAGAAAATGTTATTGTTTTTCCAGAAACATTAATAGTAGGCTGCTGAACTTCTGATGATGTATTTGAACGTGTATCTATTACTGTATTTTCGTTATCGCTTTTCTCACTAGCACTCATTTTCGCGACCAAAATACAAAAAGACGAAATAACAAAAGAATACCAAAACTCTTTAAGGGTACCGCCATTTTCTTTTTTTTTTTTAAGTAAGCGGTATAGGTTAAAAAAAAAAAATTAAAAAGTTTAGAGAAGTGGACAGTAATGGGTTTTCACACTTACTTGCAGGCCTTGACCGGGAAAAAGTCGCACGGTCCATACATACAAACTTTCCGTGTTCGTTTTTGAAAGTAATGCAAACATTTCCGAATATATTTGCGAAAATTCACTTTGTGAAAGCAATTTCCCGGTTCGATTCCGGGGACCTTCTGGGATCGTAAGATAGATGTCTAGGATATTTTTGGCCCACCCATAAAATAAAATTGTAGTTACATTACATAAAAAAAAAAAGGATAAATAACAACTCGAAAAAAACAAAACTTACGTTGTTTCCGCCCGGGATCGAACCGGGGGCCTTCTGCGTGTTAGGCAGATGTGATAACCGCTACACCACGGAAACTTACTTTCAACCGACGAAATTTATGACCACTAGTTTTTTGTACGAATCTATGGTGGAGTAGATTACAATTCTGTCGTCATTTTTCTAACTATATGTCTTTTACAGAAAACAGTAGAAGTTAATGAATATACAGCACAAATTACAAGACACAGTGGAAATATTCATCATATTACATGCTAGACAGAAAATCAATTTAGCCTAAACTAATTTCAATTTTGTTTTCATACGATCATTATTGGTTATGCTTGTGGCTCATATGAATTCAAAAGCGGGAAAAATTTTACCGGTATATCGAGTTCTTGGGTTTTCGCAATTGTTACACATAGGAAATGAAACTATTTTTCCGGATTTAATTTACGGGTATGTTTGACGTCACACTGCGCCTGCCTTCACGCCGCTTCCCGCGGAGTCGCCGACGGCAGTTGTGGAATTCTTGCGAATGCGCGAGAATTCCGCGGAAAACGCGCGACGTGATTTTTGGCTCGTAACTCTTTTGTTACAAAATTCGCTTTCATTCCGTTCTGCCGCGAAATTTTAGAATCGGTCGACCCTTTGTTTTATTCACTAAGTTTGAGACCAGGCAATTGGTTTAGTTGTTTGGCTCATTATTATTACATTCACACAAATAGTGTTTTTATTTTAAATCGCTATACCTATTACCTAACCCACAGTTAGTATTTTTGGGTAATATCTAGAAAAATTAAACACAATAATCAGTTTGAAACAATAATTTATTGTGTCTTTAGAGTCGATAGTATGCGTTAAAATTAATATACACAAGATTCACTGGACGAGTGTAGATGCAGATTAACACTTGCCTACTAAAATTATAATTACAGTAACATTTAATTATGTACAATAATAAATTATAAGGTTGCGAGGCCTGCACCTCTGATTTACAGGGTGGTGCGAAACATCACCAGGAGAATAGGAAGATTCTATATAAGGAAAGTATTCACTGTAAGCCAGTTGACAATAGCAGTGTGGTTAACTTATTATTCTTTTCATTTCCTCATGTATCATAAGGCGGCGTGAGCGAGCAAGCTGTATAATATGTCTCGTAATACGAATCAAATCTTCCCAAAATTTGATTTTTACCTGTACCCAACGCATACAGGTATGTACTATCAACAAAGTTGATACGTTACCGTTTTAAGAGTACTTTTCGCGTGCAGACACCAGCAGTTAATAGCGGCCACCAGCAACTTGCTTGTTCTTGTCACCCGATGGCGTTTAAGGGCTAGTATTTCATCAAACATGGGTCAACAAAATAAGAGACTGGACTAATTCTAATCTCCACTTGCAAGCCAAACTGTTTTGGTATTAGAAGGCTTCAACTTCACTGACAGAAAATATTGCATTGGCAGATGTTACAAATACCTTAGCATGTAACAACATACACTAATAGCCATTTATTAACATAAGTATATCCTGTTGTTGCTACGTACTGCACAAAAACTCTTCCCCCGTATAAAGCTTACTTCTTCCCCTGGTTTGGAGCTCACGTGTTCACTCCACGTGAGTTCTGGGGTTTGAAATTCAAAGCACGTTTACACAACCCTGACATGCATTTATTTACTCTTAAAACCTACATAGAATCACGTGTCGGGACAATACCATCCGCGCATATATGCCAGCGAGTAAACGCGCCTTGTGTGCCGTCATATGCGGCGCGCACTTCAAAAGGTAGCCATTGAGCCCATTACGACCACCATTTAGTTAGCGCTAGTCTATTCTTTTGACTAGTAACAACATACAACGAGTTTTGCACCACTCTGTATTATAAAAAACAAATAATACTTTACATTCCAGATATACAAAAATATTTATTTAGTCAGAAAAATAATTTTTCATGTCATTGGTGCATGATTTCCTTTCGTCATAAGGCAGAGATCGCATTTGCTGTTGTTTCTTAAAAATTATGTTTATTTCATAATAAACACTGATACTTTCGTAAATAAAAGAAGTATTTGGAGGCACTTTTTCTATTGGTTTTGTTACTGTAAGAAACTACTCAAATGTTCTAATAGGCTATTTGAGGTTAGAATATGAAATTCGGCAGATTGTCCACCTGAAGGAAACTTTAGACATTTTCGACACTAAACCAGTTATACTTAATGTCGCAAATGCATAGTTAGTTGTGGCAAATAAGATGTTCAGTCTGTACCTGTGTGCTCTCAAAAAGGCAGACAGGCAGTAATTGTACATTTTCCACTGCAAGTTAGGTAACCTTTGAAATGTCACACTGCCCATTATTTAAAACTGAACTTAATACTTTTAAGTCGGAATCGCGATCGTATTCTATCGATTTATTGCTAATCGAATTACTTGTGACTTCAATATTTATTATTATGATAACGATTGAGGAAGATTCTTAACTCAAAGACCCCGAGTTGTTTATGTCATACGACAAACTAAAGTTGACTTCTCATCTCATAGGCAACACACTATAACGATAAGAGCAAGTAAGTAAGTAAGGTTCTTTCTCAGTGTCAAATTAGGATTTTATACACAACTTCATTCAGTTGTGGACATGTTTTAGTACAGAGTGCACTAGATGCTATAGTTATGACAAAATTAAATAAGCCTGTGGGTGAATATAAATTATGATATACACCACCACTATGGCCTATTGAGTAATACCCCTTTTTTGAATAGAACCAACTCGTCGAGAAATACAGGCACCATACAGTTGATGAAATTCGATACATCTCTTCAAATCGTTCTGCTATTACAAGGTGCCTAAGACAGTTTGGTAAATAGTCAACAATCCAGTCAGCAGTGAAGCAATAGATTTTAATAGCACTCGAGAATCGGCCTTGTAATGGCAATCAGTGTTTACTCATAGGAGGAGTCTCTTCGTTGTGAGAGGCAGAACTGGATAAATATTAAAATTTAGTATTACACATTATCGCTTCAGTGTATCGTCTACAAGAATCTAAACATCACGTCAAGTTAGTATCGCAAACAGTCCGTAAAGTCTCACTATCACCACACTCCAAAACAGACAGACGTAGCGACGGAGCCACACTTCCCGTGTGAAATCTTCGACAAGACACTTCGATCGTCGGCGGACAGCATTACGCCTACAGAACGAAACTTCGTACGGCATTGCGTTCGCAACAAATACGCCGACGGATGCAAACGTCATCCCTTCGCGTCACATGCTCACTATCGGTCACTTCACTAGAATCGCTTTCCTAATATGTACACACTCGCGGCACTAGTACGTGGAGCAGCAGCGGCACAGGGCCGCCCGGAGCCTCGCGAGCGCCGTGGGCACCTCGGCCCGCGCGGGCCGCAGGTAGGCGGGCGGCGGGCACAGGCCCAGCAGCCAGGCGCGCTTGTGGCCCGCGCCGGCGCGGTGGGGCCGCGCGGCCGCGCCGGCCGACGAGCACGGCCCGATCGAGTGCCGCGCGGGCGAGCGCGACGGGCGCGCCGCCGGCGCCGCCGCACACCACAGCACAGCCAGCCGCCGCTCGCAGCCAGCTGCCACCTACGGGTGCCGCTGGTTCGGCACTGGGATTCTGCAAGTAACGTTCGCGCACTCAATTCGACATAAAGCCAATACACCCTGAGGGTCGAGCGGTGGGAGTCCCGCCACAACGTGAATTCTAATTCGTTCGTGCTGTCGACCGGTTACCTCACTCCAGATAGTATCTAATCCAAGCATATGGTATTGGGCTATGGAAAATTTTACAGACGATGTTGACCTGGGCATGCAGGGCGGTAAGGTGTAATATGCTGGCCCGCAGGTTCGCACGGTGCTCATGCGAGATTAAAATCACCCTTTTCAAAACATTGCCAGACCCCTAAACACATGCAACCTGTGGAGCAATTACACTAAAAAAGCATACAGTGCCTTGCATGTCCAATTCAACAACACCCTCAGAGGACTGCTGAGGATGCCTCGAAACTGTAGTGCCTCAGAGATGTTCGCGGAGGCTAGAATTCAGTCGTTCGCAAGAGAGGCATCCCTGTTGGCCAGACTGAGAGGCAGTACCAACAGCCTTCTTAAGGTGGTAGCAGAGAGGATGGACAGCCCAATCGTTAAGTATTGGATGTCAATCGTTGCTCATGAAAATCAATACTTCGCTTTTTACAATATTAAATATTTCGTTCATAAATAAATAACAATATAGGAAAATATAATAAGAATAAAAAAAAGTTGAAACAAACAAGCAAAAAAAATTACACTTGAAATCGTCATACTGGAATGAAATTTCATTCCTATGTATAACAATCGCGAAAACCTAAGAACTCGATATCGTCATACTGATTAACCTCTACTGTGCATTAGTAAGACAGATTCCCCTGAGAAGAATGAGCAAGAAACTCTAAAGTGTTCACGGTGTGGCCTTAAGGGTTACTCTTTGTACATATACATTTGAACACATTTTTCATTACAAAATTTCTTATAAACATCTTAGATAGAGTTCCTTTTTTCTGGAATCCTCCAGAAAAAAGGAACTCTATCTAAGATGTTTATAAGAAATTTTTTCTGTGTGTTCGATCTTTGTATTAATAATTATAACAAACTAGTGGAGTAATTTTACAAAAAATAATTGAATATCAATTCAATAAAAATTTAATCTTAGATAGAGACTATTTAAGATGATGAGATTTTTGTTCTCCAAGTATGCAGAAGTTGTATAATAAACCGTTACTTTTTGTTTCACTAAAGTTTTAAACCTCGTAAATGGCAAGTTTTGAATATCAATTGGAACCTTATTATAGATACGTACACATTGCCCCTTAAACGAATTTGTTACTTTGTCAATACGACTGTTAAGATATTTTTCTAGTCTCTTTATTTCTATTTCTTTAGTCTGTCAGTATTTTTCATTAAAAAAAATTCTATTTTTCCTAACATAAATAACAATTTCATAAATGTACTGTGACGTTAGCGTAAGAATGTTAATCTCTTTAAATGTATTATTCAAAAACAATTTGGGTTTCCAGATTGTAAATTGCCCTGGCCGCATGTTTCTGCAGGACAAAGATTCTATTAATCAGTTTAATCTAATGCAGTTTGCAACTTCACTTTTACAAGATCTTTTTGCTAGTGGGAAACTGGATATTGAACATTTAATAGCAATATTTCTCATTGACGGTAAACGGAAACAATGTGGTGATATCTGCATGTCGAAGAAAATTTACAACTTTCAGAAAACTGTTGAATCCACTTTAGGCCTGTATATGGAACTGTGACCTGCACCCTCTCCTCTCGATTATTGGTAGTGGGGCATATCAAAGTTTGAGCATAGTAATGATTAGTAATATGACTTATCTCTTACCCGTAAAAAGCAGGAAAACTAGTATCAGTATTGAACTGGAAGTTGACCGGCGTTTTGGGCGAGGCGCAAGAATACGAGAGGCAGTCATCGGACGCGTGCAATTGTCTCGACAAGACAGGCTCGGACGCCGACCGCGTGATCTTGGGCAGCGCTCGAAGCATACACTCTAAAGCCGCTAGTATCTGCCGGAACAATGGCCTTTGAGATCTGTCCAGCTTTATGCAATCTTCGAACAAGCGCTTCAATGCCTGCGGCGCGTCTTGACGTAGTCTTCTTGCGTCCGGTCTGAGTAGACCACGACCTACCATCCATAGTATCTGTGAAAAGATAAAGTTAACTGTCTTATCTGTTGGAAAAAATAATGACGGATACTAAAGTAATTCTCCTTTCTCTGCTGTAAAAGCAATGTTTTCTTTTTATCATGTTAAGTGAAGGGACGAGCTTAGTTCTTCGCCTGGTGGTAAGCAACACGCCTACCCAAAGATTTAAATCTCAAATAACTGCACCCGTCACCTTGAGATATAAAGTTTCACGTGCCTGTAATTTTTCAACACCCTCACCCTTCAAAAACGGGTACGAGGTTCAAGCTTTACTATCGATTATAGATTTTTTCATACTTGTAGTTAACTTAATTGTAAATACTATAAAAGAAACTTATGAAGGATCCTTCCTATTTCAAATGAAGTATTTGAATGAAAGGTCGTGAAATTAATAAAAAACAAAGTGAACACGCGGATAAATACAAAGCCTGATTATGTAATCGACATCAAACGGCCCCGCATATCTCGACCCCTTTACTACGAATGGATATAACTTATAGTTTCACAAACAAAAGATATTTGGGTAATTTTCAGGAAGTTTTTTGTACTCAATTTTGGTGACAATTTCTTTTTAATCAAATATTTATAGAATATCATCCTGAAGCATTGTTTAATATTGGAGTGTGGTAACCTGAAACATTCTTTAATATTTCACGATAATATATTCGAGTAATTAAATAATAAAAATTGTCACCCCAATTGAGTACAAAAAACTTTCCTGAAAATCACTGATTTACATCATATTATGATTTAGAATTTTATTGAATTTGATGTTCTAGTATACACATTCCTTAGACGTAATTGCTAATAACGTGTGTCATAATTTTTCACACACCTACTGCTTCCGTGGCCGATCGGTTACCATGCCGGACTAACACGCAAAGGTCCTAGGGTCCATTCCCGGGCCGGAATTAATATTTATATGGCCTCCATTTATATAGATTTTAAGACTTTCGTGGTTATTCACTAAATGATTATCACTAATATCAGGTCTCTTACCAAGGTATGACTTCTTTTTATTTTCCCGATATTCCGAAATATCGGGAAAATAAAAAGAAGTCATACCGTGGTAAGAAACCTGATATTGGTGATAATGGCCTCCATTTATTTATCTCATGAGGTTGGGTGTAATTTGTGGTTGTCCATGTGTGTGTCCATGGCACCCGCGACTCAGGGTTTCCCTAGTGCGGGGCTATGTTGTGTGCGTTATTATTATTATTACCTGATCCTTATTATTTAAATGAATATACGGCAGCTCCCCAGCCATCAGTTCATACAGAACGATGCCATATGCATAAACATCGGACCGGAACGTATACGGCGCAGGTTCCTCCATCCGGATGACTTCTGGAGCCATCCAGAGGATAGACCCTGTGGGCTGCTGCCACTGCACCCCTCCCGCACCAGCGCCGTCCGACCACCGCACCTTGGCCGTGGCTAGACCGAAATCGCCGATCTTCACAGACCAGTCGTCGCGAAGGAATATGTTATTCGATTTCAGGTCCCTGTGAATAAATATAGACAATTACAATGGGTGCATACAGATTATTGATTACTGAAATAGATTGCTTCTGCCACAATCTCAGTTACAATTACATGGCTCAGGTGTCAGCCATCTAGCAGATTCTTAGGGAACTAAAAGTGAACAATCTGGCTTAAAACCGTCTAATACATAAAGTAGGTTTGTCACACATATTAAATATTTAATCACTGATGAAATTTGATTCTGTTTGTTTTCCCAAAAACAGCAAAACATCTAATTACAATACCACCACCGAACGGAACAGCCAGCCATTGTCAGAGATATTATCTTTACTACAATAAATACAGAATATTTTTGGAATATACGGAGACGTACATTCCAAAACGTGTCATTTTGCAATTTTCATCCATTATAGCAAAGCTCAATTATAACCGGTCGATTTAAAGTGAAACAATTGACGACACCCGTCAGTTGTTTCTAATTCGGGCTGGCCAATCGGAGCGCAGTTGTCATTGTAATGATATGGCAGAATAGTTTTCAAACAAATTAAATGACATTTCGTCTCTATTTATGGCTATACACTCGATGCTACACATAGAGCCAAATAAGGAGTTAAAATAATAAATACGACCATAGTGTGGACGGTTAACTTGCGTATTTGGCTCCATTGATGTGCGTCGAGAAACCAACCAGCGCGGCAACGCGAGATTCGTGTCTGCTGTATTTGTCGAATAGGCAAACACGGCAAATGCTCTGTCATACATGCTATCTACACACGGCGATTGTTTGCCAAATATATCAAACACGTAAATACAAATAACCATGTGCAGTGGCGGATTTGCCCTAAGGCCCAGTAGGACCGGGCCTAGGGCGACAAATTGTGACAAAAAATTCACTGACGATAACAAAAAATAACTCAAAGTACCTCGTCGTATCGTATAACAATAATATTCCTAAATCACTTTCGTACATTTTGTATATGTAACATATCTACAATGTAATGTGTGTGTAAAAAACAATGCGTGTATAAAGGAAGACGATAAGCGACTGCATCGCGACTGCATCGCATTTGCATCGCTGCTAAAAGTCGAGGTGTGTAACCGCTCTTACTTGTACCATTCGATATTCTGTGCATTTTCTTAGTACAAATACGAACCTATGGATGATGTTCTTCGCGTGTAAGTAGTCCATGCCCTGCGCAGTCTGTCTTGCGACGTCGATGAGGTACAGCAATGGCAGTGGCGTCTCCAGCACGTGCAAATGCTGGTAAAGACTGGAGCCTTCGCACCACTGCGTCACAATGGCGAGAGACGGCTTCGACACGCAACCCATGAATAGAAGGATGTTGCAGTGCCGCGTCTTGCGGAGGACTGCCACCTGATAACGTGGAACAATAAGTTTTAAGGAGCAAGGAAGTACCAAACAATGAGCCAAGTTCACTGTCAAAAACGTTTGTTCGATGGATACTTTCAAAACCTGACACAAAGTATTACATAGGCTGAATACTTTGTTGGGAAATTACTAAGTTCAAAACAAAACATTCCACTCGCTAAAAATAATTCCAAATTTGGAATTTATACTACTTATGCAATATTTTAGATGATTTGAAATGTATATCTATGGACAGTACCTCGTTCTTGAAGGCCTGCAGCTGCGCGGGAGTGGGAGTCTTGACGTTGAGCGTCTTAACGGCCACGGGCCCGTGCCAGTGCGCCTTGTACACCGTCCCGAAACTGCCAGACCCTGCAACCATACCGCACATTTTATATCTATGGACGTATGGTAGACGGACGTCCCGGAAGGAGATAAAGACGGACAACTATGAATTCTGTAAGGCTTTTCTGTAATAACAGTTGGAATCAATTGAGCAACACATTACTTATCAGTCTACTTGCTACTAATGGCGATGAAGCCCCTTTCAAGCCCCCTTAGAAGTTTTGCGAACACGTTGGCTACGTAGCATTCTACTATGAAAAATTATATGATGGGCAGGGGGTCGATTCAGAACCTTACGATAACTCACTTGTCGTACGATTTCTTTTCATTTTTATTCACAACACCCGAATCGAACATCAAACTGTAGTATTCGAAACCGAACCGAAATGACGTCACACCCGTACGATTACTCGAGCTTCTCGACCGGCAAAGGCTACAAAAGTTATTCAGAACATAGTTATCGAATGAAAGTTACCGAACGTCCTATTGTTTACAGAGCAAGAATGTAACATGGAAATATTTTATTATTTTAAATAAAGTCTGGATTTTGCTCAATTTTATTAATTTATTCTAATGCGAGACTAATGCATTCCTATATTTTAGATTTTAGGCCTTTAAAGCCTTAAAAATATATATGTAAAAGAACTTCATTTTTCTTATAATCTATAGTTGCCGACTAACTCCGCAAACGTTGTTCGATAACGATATCCTATCCGTATCCGAATCGATCGTTTTAACTCGAATGTCATGAATAGCTGGTAATTCGAGAACGATATCCAATCGCACGATTCGGTTAAAATATCGAAGAGTTCTGAATCGGGGTCCAAGTATGTCAGGAGTTTCAAGGTCATTCATGGAGGTATATGGTGCGTATATGGAAAATGTAGAAACGAGTGGTAGTGACCTATCCGAGCACCGATGAGGATCTCGTCTGCCGGGATGACCCAGTCGTCGTAGCTCTCCCGCGGCGCGAGCACGTTCTTCCACGACTCGTCGGCCGAGCGCGCCCGCGCTCGCCGCGGCCGCAACGTGCCCGTCGGCGACGCCTGCAACCACGCGTCGCGTTACTTGCCTTACTAGCATAGCGGCTATTGGTGGTACACGCTTATCCATAACACTGCCGTCCACTGCTGAGACATAAGTTGACAATGTCCCATGTGCGTGTAATTTCACCAGCACCAGCACCAGCACCCTTACCCTTCACGTTCGAGAAATAGGTAAGGTGGCAGTACTTCCCCGAACAAACTCTCATACAAGAAGCACATGGTGTTTTAAGGGCGATAACTGAGAAATTTCCAACGAGAGTCTGTTAGAAGCCCGGAGCCGAAGGCTGAGGGCTTTAGCGATTCGAGGTGTGTAATTTTTACCGCCCGTTCTACATACAATGTTTTTCATCACATATGCGAGGAAATAGATACAACGGTAATTTATTTATTGTATGAATAAATATATATATAATTTTACAATTAACTTTTTTTATAAAAAAAGAAACAGTTTGCCAGCTATTCTTCCACAGATAATACAATGATAAATAATGCAAATGTTTCGTTTTTTATACCTCAAGTTTAGAAGAATATTTCTTCAGTAAGTTCAGATATTTCGAGCATAAAAACTTTTTGCTTAATCTTGACGTAAAAAATTCAAAGAGCGATAATGTACTGAAAAAGCTCTTTGCCATAATTTAGGACATTATGGTCGACTCGCCTGCCTGTCATGACTATGTTTACGAGCAAGTGCGATGAAAAATGTCTTTCGTGTGTTCCGCTCACAGAAAATTCCAAAGTTTGAAGTGATTATCTTAGATAAATATTTATACCTCGATATTTATAAAATTAATTGGACCAACAGAACGCTACCGCTAGTAACGTCGTACGATGTTTTGTATCCCGAGACATATCCAAACGTGTCAAACGTCAATCTCAAAAAAATCAGTTACCAAATTGTTTTCCCAAATATTGTTATTCGTCTTTATTTAGTATTCTCATTGTTTGCCTGTCTTTTTCATAAAATCGAAAATAGACAATCGATTGGCCAAACGTTTGTCCAATATGTAAGTATTTATTAATTACGTAAGTATTTATTCGATATAAGAGTACACACTGCAATAGCACGATATACACGTAATTAATTTTATTTTCATTTCGGGACGCATACGTCCGTCACTCACTCAGCTATGGTCCATTGAAAACCAGCGTCACTGCCTAGTCTTGGTTGTGACTTTAGCTGAATGGGATCCTTTTGCACACGCCACAGCCGCACATATGTCGGTATAGTATTACATAACTTGTTGTTTAAATGTTGTTACGCTGTTTGTGTTATTTTTGTTTTTATTTATATTAGTCTTTTGTTGTGCCTTTTTTATATCGTGGCCTTGCAATATATGGTCTCTATTCTAAAAGAACCCTAGCCTTGAGTAGCCTTCAACACAATTCAACAGATTGGGAAACACAGACTAGTAGCAGTGTACTCCATTTCTCAAAATCCTTTATTCTATTGCATCACAGTACCTGCGTACTCTGACTGTGTTGCTGGTCGCTACCCTTGTCTTTGTCGTCCTTACTCTGCCGCGCAGATGACGTCAGGTAATTCGTGGATTGAGGAGAGTTATTACACTGCAACAAATTGAATTAGTTAGCACTGAAAGATATGTTCCTCGGAATAGACTACATTGGGTAAATCAATTCTGTTTTTATATATTAAATAAATATTTCGTTGTGTCGTTTTGTGGGTAATAATACCTACCTATTCTAAGTGAAAATGTTACTAACAATTTGTATGGGGCTATGGCTGAAATAAAGAATTTCTATTCTATAATATTAAAATTTTAATGGTGACTGAAAAGTCGCCTGTATATCATATAGTCCCTTTGCAACAAAAGGATGTGACTTTGTAAGTTGTGTACACAATTCAAAATTTTAAGTTACGCCGTTGTACGAGTACATCGAGTACATAACCAGAAATAGAGACGAAATACGTGGCCCGTATTTCGTCTCTATTTCTGGTTACTCATCAGGTAAATGGGCCTTATATCACTTTTAAATATCAATTCTCGTTTGCGCTGAAATCACAAATTACAAAACTGAAATAGTACAGCGCCAACAACTGACCTGTGTGTACATCTCCGTATATTTCAAAAATATTCTGTACTTATTGTAATAAAGATAATGTCTCTAACAATGGGGGCTGTTCCGTTCGGTGGTGTGGAAAAAACAGTAAAACATCTAATTACAAAACAAACGGAATCACATTTCATCGGTAATTATTATATGTAATTTAGAAATTTTCGTCCATTATAGCAAAACTCAAGTTAAACTGGTCGATTTGAAATGAAACAATTGACAACACCCGTCAATTGTTTCGAATTCGTACTGGCCAATAGGAGCGCAGTTATCACCGTAATGATTTGGCAGAATAATTTTCAAACAAATCAAATGACATTTCGTTTGTATTTCAGGTTACATACTTCGATGTACGACTACAATACTTTTCACTTCTGAGTGAAGTAAAAGAGAGATAATAAAGTGGCGTAATTCGGGAAACTGTCCAACAAAATAGACGTCATGTGACTGGTGCCTAAGGGAATAACCAAACTTATTAACGTGGAATCGGTCAGAAAAAAATTACGACCATGCGATAAGAGCGAAAATGACGTTGCGCGTTTTGCTTCCGATCGGACCGCCGCTGACGCGAAACGCATAACATCTTTTTCTCTCTTATTACATAGACGTTAAGATTTTTCTGACCGGCTTTATGCGATTCTGTATCTATAAGTATGGTGACTCCCTAATATTACACACTGCTTGATATGAAAAACATTATATTTCAATTGCGCCAATTTATTATTAGAGGTGCGATGTGTACCTGGTTGTACTTCCGCTGATGATCTGCCAGCGTTATGGAGCGTTGAACCATGTTGATGCACACATTGGGCGCTGAGTTAGACCGGTCCGCCTGGTTCAGGGAGCGCGGATGCTGCTGCCTGATACCAGGAACGATACGATAGTGTTAGAAATCGAATTAACCAGCTATCATCAGCTTATGGAATCATGACTAGATGAGCTACTTCAGAATAGTTTTAAGGCAATTCCCAAACAAAACATATAAGTAACAACGGTAACCAGAGGTCGGAATAGGGTACTAGAGTATACATAGAATAGGTAATACCTGCCTCTGCTCAATGACTTAAAAGAATTGTAGACAATATAAATACAAATTGCATAAATTGTTAGTACTGACCATTGACTTACAAAAAAATGGACGACGGGTCTAATACAAAAACCACGAAAAAAATGTTCCAAGTCAACCTATTTAAACGTAGTGACATGTAAAGGAATATGAAAAAGCTAAAACGTTGAATTTAAATTGTAATGTCATCGCAGTACTGTCTAATTTTGCTTGCTTCGCTGTCAGTCGAACAAACGAAGACTAGAGCGTGAATGACGCCCTGTATACGATTTTAACGCCCTATAAGTTTGGACACTTTTTAGCGCGGACCCGACGACGTCCATAAAATTGTAAGTCAATGGTACTGACTAACTAAATTAGTTATATTTCGCACTTACTATTTTTTTATTAAATTCTAATTTGTTATTGTTTGTTGTTTCATGCAATTTGTATTAATTTTCCCTGAAATGCATGCTACATCTAAACTAAAAAAACGACCTCAAAAGTCATTCATCCCCTAGTTTGCCACCCTTAGAGAGGGAATATTTTCTTCAAATGAAAATGGGACCACTTCTGAGGTATTCTCTTTCCAACAAAAAAAGAATCATTAAACTCGGTTCACAAATGCCGAGTTATCGCGTAACATACAATCGAATTGAGAAACTCCTCCTTTTTTAAAGTCGGTTAATAATAAATATGAAAAATAAATAAATCTAATATAATATACTATAATACCTTCATTGTTAACTACATGTTTCAACGAATAATTGTATTGTATATTGTTCCACGTGTTTTAGTAAGTGAATTTTGACTTTTAATCTTCTGGGATTTCAGATTATTATAGTATTATGCACTCTATGTGTATTACTCGAAGATTAGGCAAATATACTTTATCTATTCCGATATCTAGTTACAGATGACGGTGTATTGGATCGGGTGTGGTTAACGGCGCTGTATATAATAGCAACCGCCAACCTTTCGGGTGTAAGGTGATTTTGTACACACAAAAAACAATATACAAAAGCGTTAAGGTGCAAAATTACACAACGCCGTATTAGACTCAATTTACATTGCCCCAAAGGACTAGAAGCGAATTTTTTTAACCATAGCATTAATAAATGTTAGACAACATCATATACATTAGCGGTGGGTGATGGTTACAAAGAAAATATAGAATAAATCGATAGTTGCACTACCCATTTGATTTTCGGCTCAGTCGTCTTCGCCGAAAAAGAATCGAATATAGTTACTAATTCAGTAATTACCATTAGATGTTCGGTGTCTAAAAATAAAAGGTTCTCTATGCTATGGTACGTAATGTAAAAAAATCGAGCCTCTTTCTTATCTAGTACCAATCGATCCTATATCTCATTTAATAACAATGAATCCTATTCAATCAATCAGCCTATTGTAGGTCACTGCTGGACATAAGCCTCCCCAAGTGCACGCCGTAGTGCCCGATCACCCGTTTTCCGCATCCAACCACTATCCGCGACCTTCTTCAGATCGTCGGCCCATCTTGCAGGGGGACGTCCAACGTTACGTTTGCCGAGGCGTGATCTCCACTCAAGAACCCGTATACTCCATCGCTCATCAGTTCTGCGAAAGATGTGGCCAGCGCACTGCCACTTCAGCTTGCTACATTTCTGGACGATGTCCACAACTTTAGTCTTATGCCGGATAACTTCGTTCCGAACCCTATTACTATTACGATATTTGATCAACCATCAAAAAGTGAAATGTAGTAATATTTAGTAACTAATTGATAATCAACAATCGAATTCTTCCAACTATGTTTACAATCGAATATTTCGTTTTCATACTTTGCTCTGATCCCAAAGCAAGTAACTAAAGTACTTGTGTCGTGGAAATCGGAAACAACGACGGTACCACAAACATCCAGACCCGAGACAATATACTAAAGTAAGTTTTTCTCCTTGTTGGCGGAATGTACCAAGAACGAAGGCCAGCGACACCTATTGTTGACTACATTACAACTAAACCGCTCCAACATTAGTTTTTTTCAAGGAATACTGTCAGAACCCTTATCCAATTACACGAAAATGTTGTGTGACATGGTAAATCATCGTTAGTTGTACGTGTAATAACTGTAATAAAATTTAGAACTGTATTAAAAAAAAAAAAAAAAATGTGTAACAAATAGAATAAGGCTATGATAGGACTGGCATGTTCTCTAGAATAAAAGTCCTGAAACTAAATAAAGATTAAAAAAAAAAAAAAAAAAGTTTTTCTATAGTTCGGAACCCGGGACCTCAGAGATGGCGACACCATGAAAACCGGTGAGCAAGCCACTCAAACACAGAGGTCGTCAACTATATAGCATAATTAAGTTTGTGTCAATTATGTAATGTACACAGAACAATACATACAGAAGAAGTGCTAAGTGAGCGTGGTACGTGTGCCAATAGTACGTGGTGTTCCACATACTTGAGCTCAATTCGCCATTTTCGCTTGGTACGTTATGGTCGTGTCAATTACTCGCGCAAAACCTCGACAATCGCAGAAAAATGCCTTGCAATATTATCCGTGGTGGTGTTCCATATCATCATATAATTTAATAAATTTCCAAATTTCCGTTTATCGTAATAACATTTTTGTTAAAAGAAACCAAAGTAAACCTCATGCCGCTGCAATATGGTCGATTCTTTTTCGAGAACTAAGTAAACATCTCGAATTCGTCGTCGTTCAGTAATTGACCGCTAGATGGCAGCACATTGATTGAAATTTGAATATAAAATCAAAATGTCGTCACTTGCAATCATGGGTATTGAACTTTCAACGATATGCGAACAAGGTACAGTTTAAATTTTATTAAAAGTCCAGAATATGTAATTTCTTTTTAAATTAGAACCGACCAATCATTATCAAGATTTCATAGAGTTTCAAATTATGAATGTGTGACTAATCGAGACTTAGGGTCTTATTCCAGAACTCTATTCTATGCTCAAGTCCGGACTTGTGTATGATTTAAAGCACTAGAAATCATACTCAAGTCCTTGCCATTAGGGTTGTATTTCCAGTGCTTGAAACTTATGTCCTGACTTGAGCTTTGAGTAGAGGTTTAGAATACGACGCTTAAAGCATTTGAATTTTTTCTTCTTCCGTGGTAACGTACAAATTAGACACGAGCCAAAAAACAGGTAGCACATCCGTGTCGAATTTTCGCGCAGTCTCAGGAATTCCCACACCCACTGTATCGTATCTAATTTGTACGTTACAAAATTGACGACTAATTCTATGTAAATTTTCATTATAAAAATTAGCTTCGGTTCCGTTCCGCGGCAATGAAATTTGAGTCTTAGGTTCTAGTAATCAGGTACATATTGATAGTGCATTGTGAAGAGTTAAATTCACACTCCCAAAATTTTATTTACAGGTGACTTCACTTGTTAGCGTAGTGAACGGACACATATTTGCTATTTGCCTTTATTTCTGTATGCCACCGCCTCTGTGGGCCGGCTAGAACAGAAGACGTAACTACAAAGTCACGTTTGCACACGTTGGCACAGTCCCGGGGCTGATGTGATTTTTTTAGTAACATCTGCCACCGCCGATGGCAAATGCAACGCAATTTAGTTACGGAAATTCTTTAATTTAAAAGTCACCGATTGCAAACGGTGATCTAGACGTTGGCGCAATAAATTTCAGACGTAACTAAATTGTGTTGCATATAGCAACGGCGGTGGCAGACGCAATTAAATTAAGTCACGTCTGCCCAAGGCGGTAGTAAACGTACTAATAACACTAATACAAAAACTATATTAGCTTGCATTATGTACAAACAAGCATTATTCGAGTACATAGGATAATCACCAGTTGACATCAAAGTCCTTCTGTTTCTTGGCGGGCGACACGGACCTGTCGAGTACGTCCGCGGTCAAATATGAAATTATTTTAAGACCATAATATCACAGCAGGCATTGCCAGTGTTATATCAGTCTTTATAGACATTGTCGATTTCCGGTAAAATCAATTTGGAAAATGAACTTCTCTAAATTGGTTCGGAACCGGTTGTTATAATAGGGGCACTATTCGGCCCCCAAGTTGATATCGTTGCTCTGGTATTCATAGTACAGGGAATTCCCTGGTTTAAGATCAGGTAAAACCAGAACACTGGTATGTTTGCATGCCACATTACATGTGTCTGAACTCTGGGATGAAACCAATGTACAAAAATGTAAACAAGCAACGGTCACTGTCAAAGTGACATCTCATAGATCATAAACCTTTTTTCCAGTTAGTTTGGTAGGAATACAAACCAAACGGCTTGATCTTATCCATCCCGATCGGGCAAAAACTAACTTTTTTATTATTATTATTATTAATTATAACTATTTAATATAGAATCAACTTATTATTTTTATTTTATAAGCATTATTACTATTTTTAGTAAATTGTTTAATAAAAACACTAATGGCAATAAATTATTGTTAATAAACTTTCTGTTTAAAATTATTTGTGTTTGTATGCCTATAGATAAAATAAAAAACCGAATAAAGAAAGAAAAGAGCAGCCAAAGGTTATGCTTCCACGAAACATTGCCAATAGCATAAAAAATATTTCCACTGGAATAAGTTTCTTGAGCTTATCTTATTAAATAGGGTGTTTTAAATAAAAATGATGATTTGATAATATTATGTTGGTGCACATGCACACAATATAAAAAATCTTGCATTATTTTTAGACCTTTTCACATTTCCGCTTTTCTTAAAATCTTTGTTTATAATTGCATCAACTTTGTTTCCATAGTTGAACATCAGTTGCATCTCAGAGTAGAGCACCTATTTTTATAGGGTTGCTTTACTACGGTAGTGTATTTAATAAAAAGTATTGTAATTGTAAGTATAAATGTTACTATTTTGTATTGATTTCTATTTTCTTTTATTTTTAATCAATCTAGGATTTCAGTACAATGTACATTGTACAGTAAAGAGCACGTCAAGCTTGACTTTTTGTACTTTGCACCATTCTTATCGTAAGCGGCATAGAGTTGGATTTAAATCTTAAGTGTCAAGCTTGGCGTGCCCTGTACTTAAATCTTTGTACTGTGATGCTAGTGTATATTAATATCTTTAAAGCAATCGTTGACATGCATTGAATTGTCCACTTCCGTGGATCAGATAAGTTTTATAAACACCTAAAAGAACATAATACGTTCTCATGGAACATGTGACTTTCTTTCTCGTGACTTTATTCTTCCTCTTGATTTTTCACACATATCAAAATACTCACTTGCCGTCAACCCGCATGAGGTGCGGGTAGCCGAAGTTGGGATACTGCAGGATGGCCTGCGTCTCCGGGTTTTGCGCCAACAATACTTTGTAGTACGTGTCAGTCATCCGTACCTGTTTGCAACGAGGTTATGGTGAATTGATCTTTTTATAGAAGTTTCCAACAATAACAATCAACTTTAGTTGTTTTCAGATTTGCAATTATGGCCAACACTTGCTGTCGCGAATTATGTCGCGATTTAGTATCAGTTTTGTAATATGAAGCATTAATAAACTTCGTCTGTTATGATACCTAAGAGTAGACAACTAACACGGCAGTCCAGGCGTCTCAAATTCTGAAGGTGAGATATCAGGCGTCTGCTGGGAGTGCACTGGTTGGTCGGCACTACAGTTGGTAACTTTGCACAATGTTTATTACTAACTTAGATACAGTATTTGTCGACTAGACAGCCTGAAGATAAGAGTACGACGAATCAGTCAGTCAACAGAATTAAGAATGAGACCCGCCACTTGTACTAAAGGTATAAGGGGGCATGAAGCGGTGGCAGAGGAAGGGCTGAAGGGGTGTATTTGGAGGCCCATCATAGGGATCAGAGGATCCCACTAGTTCTGATCAAGAGGATCGATATGAGGTCAAGGACCTATTAGGATAATTATAGTAGTCCTATGAAGCAGAATGAACTTAGAAGAAGAATACGCGAAGAAAGATACTCTATTTAAAGGCTGTTGTGATCGAAAGAATGTCGCATATGTAATTTACATTATGATTTAACCCTAGGCGTGGCGACAGCAGGTTAAGTGTCACTTACCTGATGACAAATACTGGGTACTTTATCAGCGCAGCGCTGATGGAACTTGAAGTTGCACTGCGAGCAGTAGAAACCGTTGAATAGCAGCCGTCGGCAGCACTCGCAGAAAGCCAGCGTGAAGAACGTCTTGCGCGTGAACTGGTGCGAGATGTGAGACATAATCGGCAGCTTGTCCAACGTCCGAACCGTTACCTGTTGTTAGCAAAGCTTATGTTATGTTAGTCGGGAAATGTGCAATTTTGAGGAAAATTAATTATTTACATCACAACGTAGAATATAAAATTCCAAAAGAAACCATATTAATATTTCCTTCAAAACTGTAACTAACGTACGTTTGTGCTAAAGGAGACGATATAAGGGCCTCTATGTGTGACAAAAATCGTCAGCAATAAAAGTAATATACTTTTTTTTTCAAATTGTCATAAGTAACTACATTCTGGTATTTCCAATTTCATTGCCCTCTCTTAATATTTTGATGAAAGAAAGTTATTTATATAGTACGATCATTTTCTATGCTTTAATGAAAACAATTAAGTTTTTTCAAAATTAAATGTCACACTCTAGTGTTTTTTTTAAATTTTTTTGGAACATATAGTCTTTTACAACAATAGAATAAAATACATTTAACTTATTACTAAACCTATATTCTCTGTACTCATTGGTGAACAAATATAAGGTATAACCAAAGACGAGCAATGCTCATTTAAAAAAATGTAATTAATTAAAAAATTATAATAAAGTTAAACAAAACAAAGAAAGATCGAACAACTAATGATGAGCATACAAATCCGTTCTAAATTTTGATTTGCTGATGTGACTTTTAAACTCCTGCAAAGAGTCAAATATTTCAACTTCACTACATTTCACATGGTATAAGGAACAAGTCCTTTTTATGAAACTGTTGCTTCTGTAACATGTCTTACTAAAGTTAATGACAAAAATATTTTTTTACGATTGGCTCTTTCATTATTTCGCGGCGTCCGAGAAATACATTTTTCAACAAAAAAAGGGTGTCAACAACGTTATGCAAAATTTTGTATAAATAATACACACACAATGGAACAACACTGTACAACTTAAGGGATGACTCGTAGTCTACTTGATTATGATGCATTCTATAGTCCAGAGCGTTGATGAATTTACGCTGTATTCTTTCTATTTTATTCTGGTGTACATTTTGGTAAGGACTCCATACAGAGGTTACAAATTCGAGCCTGCTATGGACGTAACTATCAAAAAGCAGGAAGATCTAGGAAAGCTAAACACAGCCTTGGCTAGTGTATAGAAAAGGGGCCTTATATTGCCACACCTGTTGAAACAGGCTATACTATAGAAACACACAACCTGTCCAGTGTGAGATTTGCAAAATTTTAATCAATTTGTTATTCAAGATACTGCGAGAATGTTGTATATATGTAGTGTATTTATAATATTATTATTATAAAACATTCCTTGCTCAAGGACACATCAATCTGGACATTTCCACATTGAAGATAAATTTAATTGTATTGACTTATCTATCTACTATTCATAATAGTCCAAAGTTTATGTAAAGCTTCATTGTACCCCCATTTGCATGTCCTAATTTTCCATATAAAGGTTATCTTTAAAACACATGTACACTATGTTTGCCTATTGCACATTACATCATTCTAATATACTCACATTATTGTTTTGTGTTGTCAGTAAAATTAACATTTTCAGTAAATAGGCTCTTACAGAAACTGTTCATCTAACAAATCAATATCAAGGAAAACAGATTTGTAATAAAATAGTACAAATCAGGCCAGTAATATGTCGTTAACCATTCATAATTTTTTTTTTTATAAACAGATGGTCATTTTCATAATCATGTTCCATTATATATTACCTGTTACAGATAAGATTGCACGCGCAAACATTTATCTGCCACTATAACCCAACAAAGGAAAACTTTAATCTGTCATACTATACCGTATGAATTTGAAAATAATTTGTGCATAATATTGTAAAGCAGTACAGCAAGTTACATTTTTAAGGAAACCCAATTGCTAGTTAACTGTATGTAGTATTGTTATACAATAATAATTAACAGGTTAACAACTTATAATTACAGGATTTCAGTGGCCGCTTCTAGCTTAGTAGCTACCAGCATGAATGCTAGTGCTGATTGAGTTAAGTCCATGACCGGAATCAACAGAGCCACAGCCATAGAATACTACCTTTGCCTTTTCAAAATACTTAATAATACATTTTTTAGGAAATGGGAGAGGTGAAATCTCAAATATACATATACCCAATAAAATAATGATAAGTATACTGTGCTAAACGACAACACCAATTACCTAGTTTTGAACTAGGGAATGCCCTGTACGAGGGCAAAGTAACATAATATGTACATCGACTCATTCATAGAAGAAAGACCTACATGCAAGACTGCTTATTCTCAGGACATTGTACATTCCACTCACTGTTCTTAGCTGTAGATGTCAGATCGACCATTGATTGATTTTATATTTTTCCTAAACGAAATAATACATAAAATTCAGAAACCACCTACAGCTAGCCCTTATTTTGAATAACGACATTATGTATTTATCTTCTTTTCGTTGTTTAATCACATCGGACTCTGTTCTTCCAATGAGTTTATATGTCGTAATTAACATAAGGATTGAGCTTTCATAAGTTTTTCAAGTCATCAAATAAGTGAGGGAGAATTTACCTGGAATCTAGGTAACATTATTGAAGTATAGAAATTTGAAATGCAAATGTGGACATCAAAGATGAAACTGGTGTCCTTCCTCCATTAGAAACAAACTGATGACAATGTGCAGTACTTTTACTTTATTCATATTTAATATTTTTATGAAACTGGCCTCAAGTTTAAATAGCAAGAGTATGGGAATTGTTTACAAAAACAAATTGTTCACTCAGAGTGACAAATATTATATAAGTAGGCATAATCAGGTATTCATTAATTACTACACCTGACCACAGTGCCAAAATTAGCACTAGGTCATAGTTACATGTCTTCTACACACCATGTAAACAAAATATTACTGGAAACCAATATTAATAATTACAGCAATCACACAAATACTCTCACTGATAACTTGTTTACAATTCACAATGTTAAACAAAATAGAACAAGAAACAAGGACCCTCTTACCACTCTGAGTGGATATTAATACCACAAAAATGCGACAAACACTGACCTCCTCAGCGTCGATCATGGTAATGTCGATGTCCCATGGAATCACTTGGTTATTTCCTGTCCGTACAACTTCACACATCTCGCACGTTAAGTTCCGCAGCTTCAGCGCCTTCGAGAGCGCGTCACGCAGCGTCACACCTTCCTTCACCTGCACACTCGTCCGCTGCTGGTTCGGCAGGTGCGCCCGCAGGAATACCTTCGGCTGCCGCGTGAGCGTGTCATACTTTTTCGAGTCATCTTGCAACGAGCACTCCTCACTCCTATCAGGCGATTCATTCGCCAACAACTCCCGCAAAGTCCGTTCCTTCAACTCCAAATTATGCAACTTAGACGTAAGCTCCTGGTACTCGGTCAAATAAAGCGTCGGCGGGTGCTGTAAACCAGCGAATTTTGCATTCAGAGCGTCAATGTTTTCGCGAGTCACATTTATTATACTTTGAATGTTCCTAATTTCATATGTCGGATCCGCTACGTCGTCACTATCAGTAGATGTCGACATATTATCACTATTGAGGGATAATGCAGGTATATTTCCATTAATTTTTCTTGTACAATTTTCTTTCTCTCTAGTAACTGCCATTTCTTTTCTTTCACTTTTTTTAATTTTTCTCTTCAACTCGCGCATACATTATTGCCATACGTAAAAATATCTTACCGTCAATTTGACAGCATGTAACAAGTGTATCCGAAATTAATTCTCGTTTAGAAACCTCTTGATGGTCTCATTCTCACCTACCGGAAATACTTTTGGAACGACACTATATTAAAATTAAACTTGAAAGAGACAAAAAATCCCACAAATGGGAACGTGCGAGAGAATTAGAAAATGCATTGCACAACTTGCAAAAATTGCAATTGTTTTGCACACAGTATTTTTGTTTATTTACAATTTTGCTCAACTTTATAAAAATTAGTTTTTTAAATTGTAATCCGTTCTATAATGTATTAAGGTGACGTAAATGAAATACGGTAACTGTTTCTTTCATAAATTATGAAATTTTATACATTTATCTCATAGGAAAAACGACTGTCCTGTCTTGACTTTACGTATAACTTATGCTCACTTTATAGATAATAATAATAACCTTGTAACTTTCAAGAAAAAGATGGAATTGAGTCCAGCTCGACGAGTATGCTACGAACAGATGAAGGCGCTCGTAGACTTCATGGGGCAGCATGTGGAATTCGCGAAGGGCGAGATGCGCGGTAACGTCGCAAGGCACAAATCCAAGACTCTCTGGGCCGAGCTGACCAAGACCGTTAACGGAATTGGCGGAACTAAGAAGACTCCTGATATGTGGAGCAGAGTAAGCTTAGCATTAAATATTTGTATCATTTTTATGCATACCTGTCTCCGATAGGTCTAAGCCCGAGATAGGTAAATATAAAAATCTCTTAAGCCATGTCATTGGGCTAAGCTTTACTGAGTAATAAAACAAACATTATTGCTTGTAATATTTTGGAACCAAGATTTAATTTCGATGCTTGGAAAGGTAAAATGTCTAAAGTGCATTTGCAAAACATAACAGGAGAGCGATTTGAAGTAATTTTTTGTTTAAGAAAAAGAAAATCATAGAGTTATGATATATATGATATGAATTTTATTTGTTATATGGAAAACTAGAAAGTTTCAATTTTTCATATAACAAATTAAATTGGAGTTACCATTTATTTTTCCTAAAAAAATTACTTTAAATCAGTCTCCTGCAATATTTTCCAAATGTATGTTACACATTTTACCTTTCCAGCGTTGATATGATCCCTTTACAAAACTAATGAATTTTATTAAACATTTTGACAATGCAGAATTTATTATCTATATTAGTAACTGGAAACTTTGTAAGTCTGTTCATTCTAAAAATGATGACATGACTCAAGAAATAATATCTCTTACTCTAGATCAAAACTTAGGTACTAAACGTATCAAACTTTTTTTCAGTATTGGAGTGACTTTAAAAACAAGTTAAAGAAGAAGTTGAAGCTCCTAGAGCGTGCCAAAAGGCAAGGCGATAGCTCCGAGGTTGTCAAACCTTTAAGCAAACTAGAGAAGAGAGTTGTGGTCATTTTGGGTGCCAAGTTTGCTAAAGTCAGAAACAGAAGACGGGAGGACTGGGACAACTCTTTTCAAGTAAATACTGATGGTTAAAAACAACTTTTATGTAAAAAATGTGGCTTAGGGGGCAGCACTCCGTCTGTGGGGCAGTTTGCACACTCTGGAATGAGAAGTGGTAAATTGAACCAAACGAGCATGCCAGTACTTCATTGAAAAATAATGAACTAAAGTATATAATTCGAAATCTACACAATTTTTATTTATCAAGAAAAGTAAATGTCGTTGTAAACATGGTATATTATTGTTATTTCAGACTTACGTTTCTTCAATTATTGGCAATAATTTAAACATTATTCTCAATGTGTAAATGGACATAGAAAGAAAGTCTATCAAATCCTAATCAAATACTAAATTAGTGGTATTCTGATCCTCTCCTTCAGACCAATGTACCATTATTGAGCTCTGTGTAAACCAGGCCACAACAGACTAAATAAGCCAAAAATACGGTCTCTTGTACCTTTGCCTATATATAACACATAATAATGTTCATTTCTATCTACGTCATATTCTTGTTCACTACTATTACGCGCAAATTACACCATGTTGCTACATAAATGTTTGAAAATAATGCCCATTATAAGTTTCGTAAATATGATTCTTACATAATTCTTATATCATTCTAGAAGCTGTTAACAGTGAAGGTAGAAGACTACCAAGATAATGGAGAATTATGCAAGGAGCCCAGTGAAACCAGTGATAGATTATCAGGTAAACAAATTAAAAAAAAAATCAAAAAGCAGCACATACCAAATGTGATTTGATATGGCCAACTATACGTGACTAGGAAAACGGGCGCTACGACGTCATCGGCATCTAAATACCAGTCTATTACATCATACCATAAAAGTGACTATTGAAAGCACATCAGCCTTTATTTTTCAGATGGCGAGAAAGATGGTGCGAGTGAGGAATTCAGTGCTGACGAGAATAGTGAAGATGTTGGACAAGGCAACAGTGAAATGTCACTACATAGTATGTGTCTTTATCCCTTAATAGTGGTTTCTGCTTGTGCTTGCACCACATGGTCTTCCATGTTTGTGTTTTTATTGTTTTTTATTACAGTTAAACAATTTTCATCATAACAGAATTGAAATTAAAACAGTAATGTGAATGAAGTCATCCTAATAATAGAAAGGAACAGCAACACTTATTAATGACGTTATAGCTACTACATATGCTAAAAGTAGCATAAGTAGTAAGTAATAAGTAGTAGCTATAACATCAGCAGAGCATATCCACCACCATTTTAAGCATAATTATTTTGTTAGTCAAGATTGTTAAACGTATTCCTGTTCCAGTATCCAGTACACAATATATTCTGTTGTAAATTGTACGAAGCAATAAAAAAATGTACATATACACAGTTATAATTTACTCAAAATATATTTCTACTTTTTCTTTTCTAGACATATATCCCAAGTGGCTAGTAGAGGTAGAAAAGAAACGCGCGGAAGCGGAGCTCACACGCGCGAAGGCAGAGGAACAACGAGCCGGCATCGCAGCCAAAACTGCAGAAGCAGCTGTTACACAGGCAGAGGCCTTGAAAAAGCTGTCTGAAGCCGCGGCTGTACAGGCCGAAGCGCTCATGCGAATTGCAGTAATGCTGGAGAATAGAAATCACCAAGATTTATTACCAATATGATCTGAGTTTGATAATCTTTTATGAAAAGTCAGCAAATGGTAGATTCAGATATGGAATTCTTGTGTGCAATATGGTCACGCGTTATAGCCCTCTAAAAGAAGTACCTTACCTTGCTGCTTTTGCTTTCACCAGTGGCAACACAGAAAAAATGTGTCTGTGGTTTGACTGGCATGGTGTTCCACTCCTATACATGAGTAGAAGGAAATGTTATAATAATATACAGTATAGTCTGTATAAGATTAAGAAATGTGATACTGTGAAGAACAAGTAGGATGTTAATGTAATTTTAATTGAAGTAAAGTTGCGCGCTTGTGGTATTGTATATTAGTTTAAGGTGTACATGATAAAAAACGTTGGTTACAATGTCAAGAATTTTTGCAATTTAACTACATAAATAATCAGCCTTTAAGCCCTTCATATAAGTATGTCACCAAGACCATGTACGGCTGGAAAGTTAATATATGGCAACACCAGTCACAGATCTAATGAAATTGTTCATAAACAGATGTAAATAAAGTCCTTTATGGATTGTAAAGTTATTATTACATTTATTAATTAAAACTAGCATGTACAACAAACAAATTCATACAATATTTACAAATTGTCAACCTAAGATCGTTGATTTCCTCATATCCTTCCAATTACACCATGTCAAAATCATCTCTCTGAAACAATGGAACAATAACAGTTAGTGTTGTAATACATGACAACCCTGTACATGGGCTGATCCGGGGTCACAACCTGAAGTTAAAAGATCCCTGTGCTTGCACAGGTTATAGAGCCATTCCCACATAACCGAGAGGTTGATAGGGACGGTCACTATAATCAAAACACACAGAAGATACGGGACTGTCCATAATGGGATAAGCTAAGATACAGGTCTGTCCATAAAAGACAAATACTCTGACAGCATTATTCTTTTATCTCGATTAGCATTATCTAGCATAGATCTACCCCCGTAGCATGGCTGTCTCAATCAGATCTAATTTAGATAGCCAATAGCGCGCACTTATTTCAATTTTATCGCGTGCGTCGCGACTATCATGCGTAGCCAAGCTATGAGGGCTAATTGGACTAAAAATACATATTAATAGTAGTGTCAGATTAAAAACAACCATAATACGCAGGCAAACACTAAATTCTCAAGAATAGTTTTCCTGCTCTTCAACATAGCCAATCAAGCAACACAATTTTTATCAAACCTGCAATTCAATTTACTATAAATGACAGCATCAAAACGTACCATCTCATTATATTCCATTACATGTTTCCTAATAGCAGAACCATCCACCCATGTAACAAAGTCTTCTAAAGCTCTTGTGACCAGGAATGCAGGGTCTTTCACCACCTCAGGCCCAACTCTCACATGTCCCTGCTCTATGAACTTTGTCGCTTCTTTTAAATTCTCGGACATTTTATCTGGAAAACCCATTTGCTTATAAGTCTTATCCTGTGTGAGTTCTACACAAAACAAAGTCACGAATTGGGGTTACCTAAGTAATTCCTTACACTCATTTCCCAGTGGTCACACATACAGTTGACATTGAATTGGTAGTAAACATTTGCTAATATCAATTGAACAATCTTTAAAAGTGTAGCCTATCTTTTTTGAAGACGGAGTAAAATGACAGTTCAATGCGCAAAAGTATTGCTCACTTATGACCAGCTAATGATTACAGTGAAGAAATATTCTATCGACTATCAACTGAATCATTGATCGTGCTTATGGTATAAATAGCCGAACTTGTTTCATTTGACTCATCCTCGACCCATTATTCATCCAATTACTGAGCACAAATTCATTTGAATTGTCAATTTTTGTAAGTTCACACATAGGGTATGTGTGAACTTACAAAAATTGTATTCAGAACTGTTTACGAAAAATACAAAGAGGAGACATATTTTAAAGTTATTCATGTTATTTCAATACATACATATAATCAAATCCGTGTGTATTCATGTTAAAATGTACATGAAAAGAAAATTATCTCGATTCCAGTAGGCCAACTATCAAAAAAAGAATAAACAAGGCAGTAATGCAATTAGTCATGATTCACAATTCAGTAATTATTGACAAATTTGTATCTTCTTTCACAATCAATAATAATTAATAAAATTATCGACAAGTACTCGTCCATTTAAAATTTTGTGAAAACTGGCAACATTCAGTCATTTTACTCCAAAAAGACAACATTAATGGAAACTGACACTGGCCCAAGCCTAGTGGCCGCCATTAAGGAAATAGAATAGAAATTATTACTGTAGTAAATTAATTATTTATATAAAAGACTAATAACATTTTTATATCTTACACTTCTTTAGTAATAAATACTAGTTTGGAAGAAACGTTTCATCAATAAAAATGCTTTTATTCCACAATATTGCTACCATAACAAATTATAAAACAATGAATACAAAAACTCACTTCTAATCATAACTACGGGAAGTCTCCGCCGGCAGAACGAGCTCGCGGATACGTTAATGGCCAGAGCAAGGTCCCATCGCGTCGGAATCAGTCCCATTTGGTACAATTTCTCCAGCAACTGAGCGCTTGATTCCGTTCTGAATTCACTGTTAGAATCCAATTCTTTTATGTTATTTGCTAGCTCTCGGATCTCTCGTGATAGCTTGTTGTACCTTGAGTAATATAATAACATTTTGTTATTGATATTCAACATACAAAAAAAGAAAAATTAAGACAAGAAATCGTACGTACTTCGTGTAGTCTTCCCGCTTTTGTACATAATATTTTTTCATGACCTTTACCTCGTTTAAATTGTTGTCGACTTTCCATGATATAAAATCTACCTTTTTCAGCAATTTTTGCTCATGAAACTTTAATTTTCTCACCATTTTTTTTTACACAATACCGAAGCTCGAAATGTAAACACACGTGTTGGTTGCAATGTTGGTTGAGACCATAAATTTTTATATTGAGACTTGAGAACGTGTTGAGAACTGTCAAGTGTCATTATCTCCATGGAATTAATAAGTACTTCGTACAACGTTGTACGAAGTACTTATTAATTCCATGATTATCTCATCATCACAGAGTATAAATTGGTTGGCGCTTCGCGAATAGCGTTTGGTCCACGGACTTGTATATTAAAGTCTTTAGCTCGTATTCCAGAACTTTACTCAATGCTCAAGTCAGGATTTGGATTTGTGGATGGAAGACAAAAAAGAATAAAGTGGGCCGCACTATTAACACCCCGTTTACACCGTATACACGATTGTTTCGACGAATGTTTCGTCGAAACAATCGACGAAACATTCGTGTCGAGTGATTGAAACGCGTTCACACATTCGTGCGATAGGCACTGCGAGGCACGACACGCATGTGTAAACGGTCACTTCGCTATTCGCGTCGTGCATCGCATCGCCACTCGTGCGATCGCGTCGTGACCAGTATTTCGAGCACGAGTCAAAGGACACGAGATTGTTTTAAAGGTGTGCTTTTTTTGAGAGGAAATTATAAAAACTACAATGAATGGTAAATATAAACTCTTGGTATATTTCATGGCATGTATCCATATTATTTTCGTAAATATTTGTACAAGGCATTTTCATTAAAATGTATATAACAAAAGTTTATTGTACATTCTCGAACAACACTCAAACGGAGTATTTCATCATATATCATATAATCATTTGTATGCTGGTGTACCACTTTGCTTTTATTTCAGTCGCTTTCCTCCAATATTCCATTGATAAGGACTTCAGGGACAACATGAATTGGGCGTGAAAGTCAGTGTAAGGTACTTTCAAACAAGAGGAATGGTTTTCATCTGCTGTTCTTCGTGCAGCTCCATCAGCTTCTTCATTCCCGGTAATACCACAATGTGAAGGTACCCTTATTTGTTATATTTTTACCTCTACTATACATGTCATGTAGCAATTGTTTTATATTATATACTATATAACACAAATTATATTTATATTGTTTGTTATTGAATGCAGCCAATACACTTTGAGAATCAGTAAAGCTTAGAATAATAACGCATAGAAACCTAGCCCGCACACGCTAAGTGAGGCAAGTTAGAGGGTTCCAAACGCGCTCCCAGGAGCGCGCGGGCTGTTAGTGCTGAAGGTCATATTGCACCGCGAACAGCTCCAAAATTTTTTGCTAAAAATGACGAAATGTGCGGTAAATGGGTGTAAAAATACAACAGACAAACATAAAATAGACACTAACATCACATTCCACAAGTAAGTAATGCGTTTCAACTCATATTTTTATGTAATTATTCACTAAAACAGAAAAATAATTTCGCGGCAACAAGATACGAAAGTGTTGCAAAGTAACGAATTTTTTTTCTCCCCATTTTGCTATTCTGTATCAAAATAATTATATTACGTAAATTTTAGTGGTGCCTGTAATTTCGATTTATTTGCGCATCTTGAACTAATATTTACTTGAATAAACATTAAATGTTTTCGTTAACTCCTGTAAGTGATTGGGACACTTAATTATTTTATAATACTTTTAACGGCTCTGCGTTCATGCTTTATTGAATAATTATTTATTTTAATTTTATTTGAATTGGAGCACATATTGCAACAAATTTACAGTATATATTTGTTTCTACTATAGTGTTGGCACCACCAGTACAACTTTGATAGCTTATTATATGTCTTTCTTTTCGTAACTTAAGCGAAATATTTTATATTGAAATATTTTATTTTCTTAAAAGGGGAGCATTCTTAAGCGATTTTTTAATCTATTTTAACAGTTATTTTCTTTCATGTTTGCTTATGGCATTTTCGGTTTTAGGTTTCGAATATGGCACTTATTTCTAAATCCAAGATGGCGGGCGCGATTTTTCGAATAATGGCAAGTTGGGTATCGTTTTCGAGATGTTTGGAAATGTTCAATACAAATATGGCACTCATTTCTAAATCCAAGATGGCAAACACGACAGTTCAAACAAAAGCAATATTCGTAATGAGCACCCCCAAATACCTCGAAAACGATACCCAACTTGCCATTATTTGAAAAATCGTGCCCGCCATCTTGGATTTACAAATAGTGCCATATTCACATTGAGCATCCCCAAATACCTCGAAAATGATACTCATATAGCATTTTTTTGAAAAAATCGTGCCCGCCATCTTGTATTTAGAAATGAGTGCCATATTCGTAATGAGCACCCCCAAGTACCTCGAAAATGATACCCATATTGCATTTATTTGAAAACTCGTGTCCGCCATCTTGGATTTAGAAATGAGTGCCATATTCGTAATGAGCGTCCCCAAATACCTCGAAAAGGATACCCATTTTGCATTTATTTAAAAAAACTCGTGTCCGCCATCTTGGATATAGAAATAAATGCTATATTTGTAAGGAGCACCCCCAAATACCTTGAAAACGATACCCAACTTGCCATTATTCGAAAAATCGTGCCCGCCATCTTGGATTTAGAAATGAGTGCCATATTCGTAATGAGCATCCCCAAATACTTCGAAAAGTATACCCATATAGCATTTTTTGAAAAATCGTGTCCACCATCTTGGATTTACAAATAAGTACTATATTCGTTTTTCATCGACAAAACCGAGCATATCTGTAGGCACCTGATCGACGTTGTCGATCGACAGTAACGATCGACAAAATCGAGCACATCTGTAGGCACCTGATCGACAATGTCGGGCAAATCTGTAGGCACCTTTAACTTAATGATGAGTTAAGCAAGATACAATTTCCCCACTTTTGAGGGAAATGTTATTCCATGGCATCATTATTTGTATATTTGTGTGCGTGCCGACGAGCGTAGTTACAAGTTGCTTACGCCTACATGAATTTGGTTTTTGCCTCACTTGTGACAGTTCGTTTGATATGAAACTATCATTCTATGCGTTATTATTCTAAGCAGTAAAGATAATTATATTAACAACTTCGAGAATATTTACATAAAGTAATGCTTAAAAAATAGCATAACATTCCGTTGTGAAGATACTACAATAGTTGTTAATCTTGTAGCATTTAGATAAATGAACCTGTTGGTCATAAAATGCCGAAGTTGCAGTATCTTTAATCTTTGAACCATCTGTATACATAGTGTATAGAGACTTGTTTTCAAGAAATTGTAGTAGCTCACGTTGGTTGTCAACTTTTTGAATAAGTAGTGTTGACACGTTGCCCAAGGAGGAAGAGTTAAACTTTAAGTAAAGACATTGCTAGATTCCAAGAGATTAATTATGGGTAAAATTGCCTAAAGTGGCTGAACAAAAACATAATTATGGGATTACGTTTTTAAATACATATTTTTCTTAATTTTACAAATTATAAATCGAGAAAATAATTATCATCAATATCAATCAAATCTTTATCATCTTGTAATATTGAAGGTTTCTTACTATAAGAGCTAAAAGATTTAACTATCAAATATTTTGTTTCGTACCTAATAATTTCGTAAATCTGAATAAATCTATATAGCTAAAAACTGGCTACAGTGGCAACACTGCGAATAACTGTTTATAATGCATTGGCTCAGTTCATAACGAACAATGTTATTAAAATTTAGATTATTATTCATCAACTTAACATTATTTTTAGCTATTACCATCTCATTTCCATTTCATAATTTCCATCCTTCATTATTTAGATTTACCTATAATATACTACCAACCCTATCTTTTTAATCACTGTACCAAAATTCCGTTTGCTTTAATTTTTATTCCGCGATTTCCTTTCCCCGTTTTTAAATTCCTATTAATATCCAAAACCCCACATCAAAGTTCCACAACAACAACAACTGCGACGACAATAATATCCTGAAGTCTCAAGAAGGAAGAAAGTATTGGAAGAATCATCAAAAATTGGCAACTCAATCAAAATTGCATATGGCCAACCAAAGGCTGGAGGCCATAGTGCCAGGAAATAAGAAAAAAAAGTAACTTCGCGTCGCCACTCGTATCTAACTTCGCGACGCTACTCGTGCTTAACTTCGCGATAGCGAAGTGACCGTTTACACAAGCGTATCGTGCACCCAATCGCTATTCGCATCGCCTATCGCACGAATGTGAGAACGCGGCATGGGAACACCGCATAAGATGATTTTATTTAGATGGAGCTATTAAAAAGGTATTTTTTCGTCGCTGTTGTCCAATCATTTTTGCATAGCTTGCTTTTAGCAAAACAATTTTTAATTCTTAAAATTCTGGAGTCGTATTTTTTCCGGAAAAAAATCCCGAAAATTTGGAAAAATATAATTTCGAAGCCTCATAATAGATTTAGATTTAGACTTATTTATTATCTTGTAAACTTTACATTATTATATACAATATATTGTATTACAAGAATCGTTACAAATAGTAATAAATGTAACATTTAAAAAAAATTACAAATATCCAGCTTACACATATATGTATAACAAGTTTTGTACTACGTAATTTTAACATAGTCAATGTAGTTATGTGAAATAATGTAGGATACAGATAACAGATAAAAAGAAAGACATAATTATAAATATATGCTCTGTTTATTTGCCTGATTATTTGCCTACTGAACTGTATCTCGATTTTGTCCACAAATGTAATAGAATAATGAATTCTGAAAATGGCAAAACTATTATTATGGGTGATTTTAATTTGGGGGAGGTTTTGTGGTCTATCGATAAGGGGCACATAACACACTATTGTTGCGACAAATCACGAGCTCTTTTTGACTTGTTTCAATTGGCTGACGTGACTCAACTGAACACTGTATTAAATCATAATAATAGACTCCTAGATTTAGCGATCACCAATAACCCAGAGTTCTTCTCCCTTATTAAAACTCTACCTCTAAGCCGTCTGGATGCACATCATCCCCCCTTTGAAGTAACATTCGGTGATAGAGCCCCCTTGTTGGACCTTAATAGATCAGTATGTAGCAAACTTTGCTTTTATAAAACTAATATTGAGGGTTGTATGGGTGACCTGGCCGCGATTGAGTGGGATCATTTAGTGTCTTCTCATGATTGTGATAACTTCGTGCACACGTTTTATAACATTGTCTACGAAGTCATAGAAAAATATACACCTAGAATCAGGACGAGTGTAAGAGGATATCCGGTTTGGTTCTCGAGAAGTCTGATTAGACTTATCAAAGAAAAACATAAGTACCACCATCGCTTCAAAAGGTTTGGTAACCCCCGAGACTACGACTCCTTTTCAATGCTAAGACAGAGAGTGAAAAATGAGCTGGAAAAGTGTCTGAGGGGTTATATTGAACGTATTGAGACTGACTTAACAGTGAATATCAAAGCTTTCTGGCGGTACACTAAAGATAAAAGGGTCACAAACAGCTACCCCAAGCGCATGCGATACAATGATCGTGAAGCTGAGAATGGTGCTGAGATTGCAAACCTCTTTGCCGATTATTTTTCTTCTGTCTATGGGACTCAGTGTAATGACGTGTTATATACTCCTGAATTTCCTGCGTCTAATTTATCAATACATAAAATTTCTTTATCACCTGACCTCGTATTGAATCAGCTCAAGGGAATTGACTTGTCAAAAGGCGCCGGTCCTGATGGCATTCCGCCAATTTTTATTCGCCTCTGTGCTTCAGCTCTCGTTAAGCCGCTAACCATTATATATAATATGTCTTTGTCTAGTGGTGTGTTTCCTTCATTGTGGAAGATCACAAGGATTACACCCGTCCATAAATCTGGCGATAAAGCTGACGTCACCAATTACAGGCCTATTAGTATATTGAGTTGGTTTGCTAAACTTTTCGAGAGCTTAGTGTACACTCATCTCTATGGCCACCTCAGGCATCTGCTAAGCCAGCATCAGCACGGATTTATTTCGGGCCGCTCAACCGGTTCGAATCTACTCACTTACGTAACATATCTTTGTGATGCATTTAACGACAAGTGCCAGGTTGACGCCATTTATTTAGACTTCTCAAAAACCTTCGACCGTGTTAATCACTTAATACTATTGTCTAAGTTGTGTCACCTTGGTATTCACGGAAATCTCTATCGCTGGATCTGGTCTTACCTAATGAACCGTTCTCAACTAGTGGCCCTGAGTGGATTTGAGTCAGTTCCATTTCTTGCACTTTCTGGCGTCCCTCAGGGATCAAGTCTCGGCCCCCTTTTATTCCTAACTTTTATTAATGATCTTCTGGACTCGATTAATTGTGAATGTTTGGCATATGCTGACGACATCAAGATATTTTGTCGAATTCATGACTTAAACGATTGTTTATCTCTTCAATCCAATCTGGATATAATAACAAAATGGTGCAATAACAACTGCATGACACTCAATGCAAGAAAGTGTCAGATTATCACGTTCACCAAAACCAAGAAGCCATTTAACCACACTTACCAAATTAGCTATGGTATATTGGATCGTGTAAGCGTTGTGCGTGACCTGGGTGTCATGTTTGATTCGGTACTCTCGTTCAGACCCCATTATGACCATATATGTAATAATGCACACAGATTGGTATCCTTTATCCTTCGTAATGCTAAGCCTTTCAGAAACCCCACCTCCTTGATAATACTATACAATTCTTTCGTCAGAAGTATTTTGGAATACTGCTCGCCTATCTGGTGTCCCATATATCACGCCCATATCGAAAGATTGGAGTCTATTCAACGTAGGTTTACAAGATGTCTAAGCACAAAATTCGGACTTCGTCGTAAACTACCTACTTATTCCGATCGCTTACGAAGATTCAATATGACCAGTCTTGAGGATCGTAGGCGAGTGTCAGACCTGTGTACATTGCATAAAATTGTAAATTCTTCCCTGGATTCTCAGTTGATTGAACATCTACATTTTATAGTACCTACTCGGTCTGTGCGTATTCCACAGTTGTTCAGTTTGCCACTTGTAAATAACAATGTTACACAAAATGCACCACTTCACAGGATGTGTCGATTGTATAATAGCATATGTTCCCACCATGACATTTTTTCTTGTTCTGTTACGTCTTTTCAAATTTCATTGTACCTAAATTTAAGCAAGAAAATCCGTTAGATTTCCGTTATTATATTTAATTCTTGTATTTAATTTCCATTTTTAGTGTTCACTCTATATAATAACATATAAAGATAAAAGTTGTGTGTAGCTTTAATTGGATGGCAGATTTATATTGTTCTACTTATAATAGCTTTTAAGTGTGATTTCTAATTTGTTATCTGTAGCTATACCTTAAAAAAAAAAAAAAAAAAAAAAAAAAAAAAAAACATATTAAATAATATAATAATAATTATGTCAATATAATGATTGTATTTTGTAAGTCAATGATCGTATGCATAAAGTTTATGTAATTTATTCATTTCTATAAAATAATATTTATACCTAATAATCTATAAATTACAACATATATTACAAGACCATGTCCCCTATATTCTTCAGTGGAGTAATACGCATTATCTAACAACAAGTCATTCAGTCGACGATCGCATGTTTCATCATTAGAAGTCAATGGGTAGGTGCTCTTAATAAGCCGGGCCGATTACGCGCGGATTTTTTTCAGTGAGTTCTAACCGTCGCGGTACGACCCTCAGTTGTCCTGTGGAACGGGTGTTATAACGGCTTTCATGCCTTTCAAAGTTGTGTAAGTTTTTTCGTATGAATGTGATTATTCCATATAAATACAACGAATGCATGGTCATTATCCTGTGTCTCACAAATAAGTCCTTACAAGAGACTGTTCGTGTTACTCCGGCAAGTATCCTCATTGCTCGTTTCTGAATATTGAATACCCTGTCAGAATCAGTGGAGTCACCCCATAGAATGGTATCATACGACATTATGGATTGGAAATATGCAAAATATGTTTGTCGTAGTATGGAATCTGTAACGACAGGTTTTAATTTTTTTAGTGCAAAGTTGCACTACTTAGTCTACCACACATAGAATTTATATGACGCTTCCACGTTAAATTTTCATCCAAAATGAATCCTAAGAACTTACTGTGGTCAGTTATGGGTATTGGACTATCCAAACACGTTGGCCTCAGGATTGATCTACCAGAGAACAATATTAAACTAGATTTAGCAGCATTCAGTATGAGATCATTGGAAGTGAACCATTTCATCAGACTCATATAGACATTTCCTACTTTTATATTGAGTTCGTCGTAAGTTCGGGCGCACACAATTGCAGTGGTATCATCAGCGAACAAAACCAATAAGCCATCAGTGATATGGAACGATAGGTCATTAATAAATGTCAGGAAGAGGGTATTTCCCAGTGAAGATCCTTGAGGAATTCCAAGGTTCACGTCACCTCGACTACTGCGTAGTTTTTTCCCCACCTGATATTACTTCAACTGTCTGAATTCGGCGTGATAAAAATGATTTCAAAAGATCGTATGTTTTGCTACGCATACCATAGTGACATAGTTTCTCCAAAAGTAATTCCACATTTGTGTAGTACTACAGTATGTGTGTTTTACATGTAGAAATACCTTTTGAAGTTTTATTTAGCGTGAATAAAAAAATAACTGAAAGATACCTACAAAAAAAAACGAGATTTAAAAAGATTTCACAACGGGGAATACTTGGGGAATAAGCGTCGTATTCCAGAACTCTACCCAATGCTCAAGTTAGGATTTCAGTATGATTTAAAGCACTAGAAATTATACTCAAGTCTTTGCGTTTAGGGTCGTATTTCCAATGCTTGAAATAATACTCAAATACTGAAATGAGCAATGAGTAGAGTTTTGGAATACGACCCTAATAAACCTCCAACAAATTACACCGCCACTACCCATCGTTTTCGTTCACAAATTTCAACTTTTGACAGGTGTCATCGTGAAATATGGGAAAATAAAGGATAAAATATTGGAAACATATTCGATTTTTTGAAAGATATAATATAATTATTTCAAAGGGAATTTTTTTCCATGACCAACACTATATAAGATAAGTCACTGGTTGAGGTGATTCAGGCTATTTTCGTATCTGTTTTATGATACTTCCTAGCACTGATACTGAAACAAAATCGCGCAACGATCACGTTTGACATTCACGTTTTTGTTGTAAATTTTGAATTTGTTTGCGTTTGCAAATTATATTGGTTTGTTATCTTCCGTATCCACAAATCGTTTATTAACATTGTGAATTTCCATCACTATTGGTAAATAGTTAATTTTTTTTTTAACAGTCACATTTATTAAAAATGGCAGAAGCAAGTGATTATACATCGTATTTGCAGAAGATGGTAAACTTGAATACTATAGATAAAATGACGAGGGACTTAGATGAGCAGCTTCAAGGGTCGTGGCAGATGATGTCGCAGATTCAGGCTATGTTCCAAAGTATTCCCAATCAGAACGAAGTGCCCATGGAAAATTCAGATGATCAGGAAGATTTATACAAATTTCTTGACGCTGAAGTACCGAAACTCGTGATGTCTGATATGGAGAACATATCGTCGGATGTGGATTTAGACAACATCATAGCGTCTATAAAGGCCCATGCTGAGAATTTAAAGAAGAATATCTGCGTGTCACAGTCACAAGCGAGTTTCAAGATGCCCCTCGTGGAAATGACGAGTTTAGAGTTAGACCAGGACGCTGCCAGCCTGGACCTGCTCAATAAGCGACTCATGAAACTCAAATTGACCAAAAGTGAGGAAGTTAAGAATAGAAATCCAGAATTAGAAGACAAGTTGACACAACTCTGTCAGGATGTTAACGCTTTCACTCAAGTATGTTTGTTCAGTTATTAATATAATTTTGTTTATATCGTTACACACACACACGCACACGCACATACACACACTGCCATGTTTAGCAAAACACTTGCAAATCCCCAAAATAATTTTTGTTTTTGTGGTCTTGTTTTATTTGCAATCAGCTTCAAACTATCTACTCTCTAAACTGTGTGCTCTCTACAGGAACAAAATGTCTTTTTGCTTAAGGCAAACATAATGCATGTTTCTTCCAAAGTCTGGTTAGTTATTTTACGATATTATTTTAGGTCTAATTTGAAAAAAAAAATTAGTTGACTGTACTAATTTTCTACTAATACAGATTTGTCAACTGGTATAATGTTGAGTTTGCGTTTTTGCAATTTATATTATTTAATTATATTATTAAAGTCATATATAATTTTCAGCTATTTCTGCTATGCACTGTGTCACTATGTTAAAAAATTTCATTTTTTTTTTTTTTCAATAAAGGTTGAGTAATCTATAGTATTGAATAATCTATGTAGTATCATAAATAAGTTGATACTAATTTAATTGCCACTTTATTATTTATATGCTACATTGTAGACCTTATTGTCACTTACCATCAGATGAGATGAAGGTCAAATGTGCACTTTTTCTTATTTTATATAAAAAAAATGTTATTCATTTAAATATGAATGTTACTGTTTTATATACCAACTTATTTGACCCATTAAATGTGTATTTAATTTTATTGTATAGTAAGTAGTGTGTGGACTGAGAAATAAAACAATATTTACTTTTACAATTACAGGTGGTCCAAACAAAGACAAAATTAAGCCAGAGCAATGAAAATTGGGGGGAGTCTTCAACAGCGGATACAGCACTGGTCTATGACGGCATTGTCAGCAAACTGTTGTCAGGGATCAATGAAGTCACATATTTGCTGCAGAACAGGAACTAAAGTTGCTGTTACTTTTTAACTTAAGGCTTATTATACTAAATTACGTGCGTGTAATTTAATTGACTGCAATAAAATCTCAAATACCTAATTAGGATAATGAACAAAATATCGTATTTTAATTTGTCACATTTAAGCTAAATTGTGACTCCTTTTTTGCAGCTAGTTGCACACTAGTAATACAAAAAAGCACGGTACAACAGGCGGCCTTATTGCTAATTAGTGATCTCTTCCAGGCAACCTTCGGGTTACAGGAATTAAAATTAATTGAGGGCGCAACAGAATACGTATTTAATTCACATATTGCACATACACAAATGACAAAAAAAATATTTTATATCCATGTCTGTTATTAATTATCCCAAAGGTGTGTTCCAGTATTTCCTGTTATTGTTTATAACCTATTTTATAGGCCTATTTTGAATGTTTTTTATCTAATATAAAATACTAAAATTTCTATAAATGTTCCATTTAATAATAACGGAAGGCCTATGCCCAGGCTGTGGATGATGACAAACTAATTTGTTTTTCCGTTTCATATTTTATTTTGGTCATTGTATAGTCCTCATCAAGCATAGATGTCATCTTTTACAAACATCATTTAAATTGAGTTTTTGTCAGACTTAAAAGCTGTTTCTGAACCTACCATATTCTATTTTAATATTGTAAGATGGGTATATTATGAAAGAAAGAAAGAAAGAAAAATAGTTTATTTGGTAACCATAATACAAATAGAACATAAAAACAAAAATTAAAATAACCTTATTATAACATTTACTTAAAATAAAACAGTATTATATTTAAGATGGTACCAAAAAGGTCTCCACTCAGCTTATTTGTAACGAGACGTAGGGAAACATCTCGTTACGCTGATTTTCAGTGAAGCCACAATTTACAGTTAAATAAAAAGAAAGTGGCTTCGATCGATTCGATATTATGTACTATGGGTACGTATTTGCATTTGAACTCATCAATAGCGACTAGCATGATGGTGCATGATGACAAGATGCGATTTTTGCTAGTGCTTATCTTGATTGCATTATAAGATGCGTGTTAATTAGAAGTAGTAGTGCTAACTCAACTGTTATATTTAAATATTAAGGAATAAGACTTGTGTTAATTAAGATTGTCAAAATTATTATTTGTTCTTTAACAATGTTGTGAAAATTAGTAATGCTAAAAATAACTTGTTATAGGTACTATGATCTTTAGTTAAGATAGCTAATTGTATGTACCTTCTAACCGCTTACTAAGTATCTCCTACCCGCGGATTCGTTCGCAATTTGGTTTAAAAAGCACTTATGGCATATATTCAGGTTACAAACTACAATTTTTATCCTAATCTGTTTAAAAGTTCGGAATAACAAGCCTCAGCTGAGGGACACGGTATAACGTGGCATTAGTCCCGATGTTCTTGCAGTGAAAATAGGTAGGGATTTTACAACTGTGTGTGGCCCTACAAAAACATATATATATATAATATAATAATAGCTTTTTCCATGCGGAATTCCAAATCATACGGAACAAGCCATCATACGGAATTACGAATCAGAAAAAAATTCAAATAGATTAGTACTATACGTGTGTATAGTACTGATTAGTACTATACGTGTGTATAGTACTAAGATTAGTACTATACTATGAGAAGTTCATGATTTGTATGGTTTTATTTATTAAATTGTTTACGATAGTAGAATTGTTTCCTTCATTTAAACGTAAGGTATTTTATTCATGGATAATAAACAAGATGTTGGTAAAATGTATTTTATTTTCAAGTCTAAAACAACAGGAAACACTTAGAAATAACTCATACTTTTCTCTATCTTTGTTGTGTATAAAAAAAGGTATTCTATAGTGACTTTACAAGAAAAAATATTATTGGTAAACATCAGTAAAGTCTAAAGTACAAAAATATATACTGAAAGTCTGAACTATTAAAGAGTCCCTCTAGTCTCTCCGATGTCAGTAACATTGAAGTCTTGAATAGCTCATTTGAAGTCTATATCACAATAGACAACGTTAAATTTTTTGTAACCATTAGTCTTGGTCATTGAGTCTAAATCTCTTCCTGTCAGTATCATGGTCTGTCTCCACATGGTCCATGTCAATGTCCATACTTTTATCACCCTCCTTGCTCGGTTTGTCATCGGCCTCCATCACCTTCAACTGCACACCACAAACCGTCTGCCCGTGCAGTGTTGTTATTGCTTCTTGCGCAGCTCTCGCCGAGGCATACTTCACAAACCCAAATGTCTTATTCGCGATTGTTGACACATCAATTAAGTCTCCAAAACGTCTGAATACGTCTTTTAGAACTGGGGCCGGAGGAGGGTGTGGCTTGCATACTATAAAACATCTCTGTGCCACTTTGGATGTCAAGGTAGCCATGGGTTGAGGAGGAGGTAATGGGACACTACAGTAATTTCTATCAGTTTCAGAATTTCCTTCTATTTTCACTGATGTTGCTGCCTTAATCAATGATGAAGCCTGGGCAATAGCGTCAGCTAAATGTATTAAGTCAGGACTGCCAGCGTCAACTGCATTTTTGAAGTTATTCACTATAGCAGTTAAGTCATTAGCTGCTTTGCTCAAAGGGTTGTCAGGTTTGACATGAACAATCTCACCAGATGGAAATTCAAATTTGTGTATCCTTTCCACAGCATATGATGCTGCTTTTTCATCTTCATATGTGGCTAAGAGTTTGCTATAGCCACCATAAGCGTCTGCAGTGTATTGACAGTGGACCATACCAGGCACAATGTTGAACAAGCTTTCTAGATATCTCTGAGGAACCATAGGAGTGCATGTGGCACAAATAGATTTGTAGTTTTGAGGGCTAACTCTCATTAGAGATACTACTGCTTCTCGTGGTGCACATTCGTCTCTAGGGTTGCCATAGCTACTGTTACTAAAGTTCGAGTTACTGGACCACATGATATCATGATTTGCTACCTCATTCATTTCTCTCCCCCTTTTGAGGTCCTGTTTTGGTGTAGCAAACACTGGCTTGTACTTTTTATCGCACTGCTCAAAAGCCTTTGCAGCGTCTAAGAATGATCTAAAATGCACATAAGCTAAGCCTTTGCTGTCGTTTGTGACCTTGTCCCTTTGTATGTGGACTAGTTCAACTTCAGCAAATTGTGAAAATTCTTGTTTTATCTCAGCTTCAGTGGTTTGTTTGGATATTTTGATGAAGAGTCTGTTGCACTTCTCGATGGGCGGTTCATTCTTTGCGCTTTTACTAATGGCTATCATAACTTTGATGGGTTTGCTGGACCCTGGTATAGAGGTGAGGTGCAGCTCTTGGATCGCGGCGGCAGCCGACGACGTCTTGAAGTACTTTACGTATGCGACGCCTCTTGACTCACCAGTATTGCGATCCTTCGGCATGTAAATGTCCTCCACCTCCCCATACCGCTCGAAACACTTGCGCAAATCATCTTCTCGCAAATCTTTGGTGCAAACTACAAATACCCTAGAATAAGGAGGTTTATCTTCTTTGCGTTCGTCATTACGTGAATTCATCGTTGTTTTAATTCACAACTATAGTAAGATAACGGTACAAGTTGGCGAGTCAAACTCAAGTGGTCAGTCGCTCTCAAACTTATTTCTTCCGTCAATCCTGAAGTCGAGGGTCGAAATTTTAAGTCAAGTATTAAATAGTCAATTCTCGAAATAACAATTAAATCTTTAACCGATAAATAATAATTTTAAACATTTAGAATGCAGGAAACTTAAAAAAATCCATCCAAATCAGTAGAATTAGGAGTAGCTGCCATCTGATCCGTCAGCACAAACTACTATATAATACAGATTCCGTCAGTGGTCTTGTTTTTTTTTTTTCTTCTTCTTTCCATAAAGGAAAAGGCAAAGGTTTTACACCATACAGCCAAGTCTTGGTACATTATTCTTTTTTGGTGAAAAATAAAGGCATAGGTACGCCAAGTCTTCATTTCATTATACATTTTAAAGGCGATAAGCCTCGTCTTCGGTGGTCAAGTCAGGGTATAAAATTCCAATTCCGGTTAAAATTTCAACTCCGAGTGTTCGCCAAGTCCAGTGATCGACAATTCCGATTAATGCAAAATCCATTCTAAAGATCTTCTATTGTAGAACAAATG